TTCGCTTCTGGACTTTGCCGATTCTGCAAAGCGCAAGTCCTTCAAAGCTTCACGCCGCTGCTTTTCCTTATGCTGCAGCACGCGGATCTGTGTCCGGAAGCACCAATCGTGGAACCCAGCAGCTGACCCGTCGTATATGTACGAGCCGCTTTTGGTCTCGGCAGGGCTCAGGTTCTGTGACCAGAGATTGGGCTGGTAGCGCAATCCTGCCACGCTCATGGCTTCGAGGATAGAAGGGGCCTTTGCTCCACGACTATCACTACTCTACCCAACGGACCCCGGACCTCAGGCTCAACGGGGGTGAAACACTAGTGGTTGTCCTCACAGCTCCGCTACCAGTTTGAAGCAGGAACTGGATTATAGTGAGTGTCCAACCACACAACGAGCACACTTTTTGATCTGAGCCCAAGACGTCTGTCATACAGGGTGCATTCAGAACTGAACATGAAAAACTACGCTCGCATGAGGACAAGTCAACACGGCCCTTCAAGACAGGGAAATTTCACAAGTATGGTTATAATATAGGGTAACTCCATTTAGGGTACTTATAACCCTACTTATGATCTACTTAGTAAGTCCCCTGGGCCTCGAAGTAGGCCCCTATATTAACCTGCTGCTCATGCTGAGTTGGAGCCTGGAAGTCCGAACACCAAACCTGAAGCCCAAAAATCCGAATCCTAAATTCTAAACCCTAAACCAAACCCATAAACCCATAAACCTTAAACCCAACAATCCTAACTTAAACCCTAAATCCTAGAAACCCCATTCATATATCCCAAAGTCTCAATCTGATACAACTTCTGGAAAACTGCTCGAACCCAGAAGCCCCAAACCCCAAACTCAAAAAGCACCATGACAACCCTAAAATAGTGGGGAGGCTGCGGCTCCCGGCTCCTAAGATCTCACTGGGGTCCAGCTGGCCATCCCCATCCTGTCAGCGTTTGGAAGTCTATGAGGTTGGAGGGTTTAGGGTTTAGGATTTAGGGTTTAGGGGTTTAGGGTTTAGGGTTTTTAAGGTTGCTGGTTTAGATTTTAGGGTTTGAGGTTTAGGGCTTTGGGTTTAGGGTTGGGCTTGAGCGCTTCAAGTTCAGGTGCTAGGGTTCATGTGCAGCGCTTCCGTGGCTTTAGCGGCTTAAGGAGATCAGAGTCTTCGGTCTTTACCCCAAGGGTCCAAGTACCTGATAATCATATACTCTCCAAAATCCTAACCTACATAACTACTATCCTAAACCCAAGTACCTAACTATCGGGTCCTTTGGACCCTTGGGGTTAGTAGCCTTCGGATGCTGTCTTGTTGGGGGTCGTGGGTTTCGAGAGGAGCCTTGAGCTCCAGCGCGGCTAGTGGGGTACGGTTGATGATATAAATCCTGCATGACCTTAGGGACCCTAAACCATGGGAATTATGGTATATTCCTTATTTTGGGTAATGCAGGATTTATACCATCAGCCGTAGTACTCAGACTCAGGTTCTGAGCATGCTTTCGATTGTAATCACACGGACAGGACGGCCATGAATTTGACTTAGGTACGGCCCCCCCATACAGTAAGAGTCTATAATGGGGCTACCTTTAAGGTCCTACTATATCTATATTATGAATATTATTCAACTATTTCTGCGTGGGGGGCCGTACCTAAGATTTGCCTGATCCCCGAGATCAAGGCGCCGTTAGTTTGAGGATTCTATGTGTTGGGCAGTGCCGCTGCTCACATGGGTGGTTGTCAAAATTATGGTCCCTTTTTGGGCACCCTAAAAATTAGGTGCCGTATTATTTTCGGGACCCAATAAGGTACCCTAATTTTGACAACCACTCACATTACACCAACACCACCAACACAACTATGCTTGCCACTAATGCCACTACTACGACGGCGACTACCCTTTCACAAACCTGGTGAAGACTCTCAAACTCAGCATCTGAGCCATCTGACCTTGCAATCGACCGTCAGCCCTCTGTCGCGAAGAACCCCGAAACCAAATCAATACCTGCCCAAGGGAGAGTCTTGCTAGCGAACCTCATCCAACTTTCGGAATCGGTGATAGAGACGCGCAACATCCTGGGAGAGTCGCTGTCGGCAGGTACGGCTTTGCGAATGCTTCGCATTGTTGTGCTATACAGATACTGACGACATTACATGATAATCACAAAAATACTAAAGGCTGAAGGGGGTATGGTAATATTAGAACTGCAATCATAAGAGTAGTCATGGCATTCGCAGCAGTAAATCAACAAGATTTCAGGTTCAGGTGCAGGTGTTGTTGAAGCCTATGGGTTGAAAGGTTCGAAGACTCTCACAGATCCGAGTATCAGAGAAACTGGGATTTTGTAAATGGTTGTCGCTGGCTTCCCAGCGAATGTGTCGGCTCTTGCAAGAACTTCAATGCTTTCATGGTGGCGTCGTACCCTAAACCGTAGACGACCAGTACAAAAGATCTATCTATTCATTTATGTGTCTACTTGTTTCTTCTTACGCCCAAAAACTGAAGTATAGGAGATCGCCTACTTGCTATACTCCACCTCTGCAGCATCCCTGCCCTCACATATCTTCCGAAGCCGCGGTCCTTTTGGCTGAAGTTGGCGATGAAGTGAATCTCTTCTCGAGTTAGACCTGATGCTAGAGTTTAGGGTTTAGGGTTTGTAGGGAAAAGCGACCCCAAAGGATCCATATATACTACCATTATTGGAAGTAGGTCCCGAAAGGTCATGCCCATAACGGCTTTGGGGACCTACTTCCATAATAGTAGTATATAGGGCGGGGAACAAGCCGCAGCAAAGTAGGGTTTAGGGTTTAGGGCTACATGCCCCTCCTTCGGCCTGTAGTGCAGAGTGCATACGACACCTCTGTACCAACGATTGCAGCTTTCTGAGACTAGGCTTAGGTTGAGGTTTGAGGGTCTGCACCGTCCTTGCGAAAGTCCTAGCGTGAAGTCTGGTCGTGTGCGATTGCAACCGGAATTTGTTGCTGATGCCGTGCCGTGGAACTGGCCATGGATGTGGCCAATGTCACGGAAATGGCCGACAAGTTGTTTTTCAGGGTGTCGGAAGGAGCTTTACGAAACTTCACTTAACAGAAGAAATAGTTCCTAAGAGCACTAAAGGTACCCCTAAACCCTAAACCCTAAGCCCTAAACCCCAAACCTTAAACCCTAAACCCTAAACCCTAAGCCCTAAACCCTAAGCCCTCAACACTAAACCCTCAAAGAAAGGGAGTTTGAGGCTCGCGCTCTCTGAGTTCCCCATGTCAGCCCCCTCTCACGCCGGGGCGGAGTCCGGGAATCTCAAGGTTGCTACGGGGCCTGTTCCCCCCCTGTCCGTGCTGAGCCGAAGGCGCCGAAGAGAGGATTTAGGGTTCAGGGTCATTTAAGCTAGGATTTAGGGTTTAGGGTCAGTTAAGTTAGGGTTTAGGGTTTACAAGTAGGGTCATTTAGTGTTCAGGGTCATTTAGGGCTTAGGGTCATGTAGGATTTGGGGTTTAGTGGGTTTAGGCTTTAGGGTCACTCAGGGCTTAGGATGTCTCATGCGTGCTGATGATGCAGGGTTCCAGGTTTAGATTGTCGGACGAAAACATGTGGGCCTCGTTGCGTTGAGGTCTAAGTAAGCCACGGACCCTAAGCCCTTAGCTTCAAAATCGGACTATGCCCCTGAAGCCCTAACATCCTGCGGACCAGAACCATAACCCCATGGCACGGAGACTCGGGATTCTGGTAGTGTCGATGGGCGCAGCCGGGATCGAAAAGCCGAAAGGCCAAATGCGCAAAGTCTTGTAAACCCACAACCCTACATCACTAAAACAAACAAGCATCATCAACAACACACCTAAAACCAAATCTTGTAGATCCTAGACCCTGCTTCTAGGCTACAAGGCCAATCGAATCGACCTTCTGGGGATTCGATTCTTGTGGCCCTCGACCGGAAACGCTTCGAGTTTGATATGCGTAAGTGGCTTAAGACTTAGAGCAATGGGCTACTTTTCAGTATGGTTACTATAGATATTGTAAGGGATCGAATATTTCTTATTATTCAGACCCTTACATCTTGGCGTTTGTGGCTTAGGGCCCGGCCTGAGCCTCTTATGACGGACAGGGCTTGCAGCGTCGGATTTAGGGTTTTGGCTTATGGGGTTGTAAAGGGTTCAGGGTTTAGGTCTCAGGTTCATGGGGAGTTCAAAAGTCTTTGGGGTTTAGGGCTCCGCTTCATGGGGAGCTCAAAAGGGTTTAGGGTTTAGGGTCTAGGGTTTAGGGGTTTAGGGTTTAGGGTTTAGGATTTAGTGTTCAGGGTTTAGATTTACAGGGAATTTCAACAGTTCCAGCCCCCCGAGCTCAGAATTCTAAACTTCGGAATCTGACCACTGTCCCGAGGCAGCCGAAAGCAGCACCTGCCCAGAGTGCATGAACTTCAGGGACTTGAGCAGTTGGTAGATGATGTACCTTGCTGCGTGCCGCAACCCTAGACCCTGAGGCTTTAGAGTTTAGGTTTAGTGAGGTTTCAAGGTTTAGGGTTCCCCTAAACCCTAAACCCTAACCCTGAACCGGGCAATTGCTTGGTTCAGGGTTCAGATTCAGGCCTGGCATGCAAGATGACGATGAGGACGACGACGCCACCACCGACGACGACATGATGGTGATGATGACGATGGTGGCAGCGATTGTGTTATGATGATGATGATGATGATGATGATGACGGCGAGTCGCCTAGAGATCAAGCCGTCGTCCCTAAACCCCCACGCAGAACCATCATCCAAATTTCTTAACCCTTGATCCCGAAACCCTGAAAGCGATTTACTCCCTGCAGGCTAACCCTGCTAATCACAATGTCTAAACCCCTCGATATCAAATCCCACAACCCCTCTCACATAACGCCAAAGCCTACAGCATCGCATCCCCCCAGCCCTAAACCATAATCCTCAAACCTTAAACCCGAAACCGCAAAGCAATCCTTAGTTAGGAGTACCTAAGCGTTCCTTTAAAGCGTTAACTATAGGGGTATTCTGAGGGTTCCTTTTCAGGGCTCCAAACCACAAGGAGTTGTTGGGACCCCCGGCTGCTTGTGAATTTCCTCAAGGATGTTGGCCCGAATGACTGCGTGGAGATCTGACTCCATGTAGTCGCAGATCAAGTAGATGTCCTGCTTCAGGGCTCCCATTTGGCGGTTTAGGGGTTTAGGGTTTAGGGGTTCAAGGGTTTAGGGTTTAGGGGTGGGGGTGGGGGGTTTAGGGCTCAGGGTTACCGGGTTTAGGGCTTAGTTTGGGGTTTGGGGTGTACCAGGGTTTGAGGTCTAGGGGTGGCATGCCAATCCCACACACGCGAAACGTGAGATTGAACTGCACGTGCACAAATAAAGCCGTAGAAAAGGAGACGGTGAATCGTTTCCGTAGCACAATGTAGAGAAGTAGGACAAGCAAAGACGAGTATCTACTAGTAGTTGTAAGTCAGTGTAAAGAAAGAACAGACTGAGCCTGAGAACAGAAGTAAACAATGACGACGATTAAAATTCACGACAATACCGGCGTCAGAAACCCTGAAAGCCCTGGCCCAGCGCCTGGTCATTGTCAGCCTGCCATGCAAACGCTTGCATAGCGGGTTAGGGTGTGGGGCTCTCGTTGGTAGGGCTTACAGTTTAGGCCTCCAGGGACTAGGGTGTAGGGTTCAGGGTCTCCGGCTCAGGGCATCCAGGTCTACATAGCCTTACGAAGCAAGCGGATATGCTTCATAGAACCATTCGACGGTCATAAGATTCAGGGTCTAGGAAACGGTTTGCGGTGTCTGCCAACGGGCGCAGTAGCAAACGAACAGGGGACCAACCTCGGTGCTGAAGGCAGGCAGCAAAAGGCCTGCTGCAATCTCCCTTATTTAACTTCAAGCGATATCATGTGTATTGCTCACAAGGGCGCCGAGCCACAAAGTGACAACGAGGAATAGGCACCTTCCCGTCAGCTTATCTGGACTCTTCGGCACGGTTTAGGGTTTAGGCCTTGACACCTCTTCCACCTTGCTTGCTCCTCTCGACTCTGTACTAGGGATCTGATGGTCGAAGTCGGTCTAAGTCCGATACCCTAGCGCTCAAGTCTTGGGAAGCCCACATCAACAGTCCCATGCCCTCTCCTGAATCTCCGAGCAATCGTTCCCACAATCGGGAATATGCGAAAAAGGGATCTCCCAGAACTCCGAAAAGCTTGCAGTTTACAAGCTCGGCCCTAAACTTAAAGCCTGCACCCCAACCCCGAAGCCCTCAACCTGGAGCCCTGAACCCAGCTCCGCGTTCAAGAGCTCGTATCTCATGCCGGAGAAGCCAGGGAACTCTGCTACTTCCACAGCAGGAAGCGTTTTGGGGATTTAGGGCTCGGGGGCCTACATTTTACTTCTCCTGCAAAGTTTCGCCCCATTATGAACCGAAGCCTCAAACCCTACCCATCAACTCTTGAGGTTAGCCGATGCCCGTTGGCCCACCTTCAGCACGTTGAGCAAGCGCACGATGTTTTCGTGGCCATTGAGCTCCTGACATAGGCGCAAACATGCGGGCGAACTGTAAAGCACCTTTGCCTACGACAACTGCTCATACAACTACTGGTAGAAGTAAATATAAGTTGTGGTTGTGCAACCGTTGTCTTCGTGGTAGTACTCGTCGTCGTCGTTGTCGTCGCAGCCGCTGTCGCTGTGACAGTGCAGGTGCAGGGGGCAGTCAGTAGTAATCCCTTCCCGCAAGTATTTATTCAACACACCCACAATAATGAAAAGCAGCAACCCTCCAAAAACAATCCCCGCCCTCCAAAACCTAACTTGCATAGGAGCACGAGTAGGAAGACAAGAGCCAGAGCAGACAGGAGCAACGGCAAGAGCCAAGGGCAACGGCAGCAGCAAGAGCAAGATCCCTCAAAAGTGAGAGTAGAAATAAAAAAATACTACCTGAGAAAATAACTGCTTCAGAGTTGTCGTTGGGTAGGGGGAACCCACCGGTTTAATATCAGGATACTAGGGGAAGGGATAAAGTGGCACTAGCAGTAGTACTAGTGATGGTGGTGGTAGTCGTCGTCTTAGTAGTATTGGTAGCAGCAGGAGTCGTCGTCGTAGTAGTAGTAGTAGCAGTAGTAGTAGTAGTAGTAGCAGCAGTAGTAGTAGTAGTAGTAGTAGTAGTAGTAGTAGTAGAAGTAGTAGTAGTAGTAGTAGTAGTAGTAGTAGTAGTAGTAGTAGTAGTAGCAGTAGTAGTAGCAGTAGTAGTAGCAGTAGTAGTAGCAGTAGCAGTAGCAGTAGCAGAAGTTAGTAGCTTTTGTAGTAGGAGGTGTAGTAGTTGTAGTAGTAATCGTCACAGTAGTAGAAGCACGAGGATTCCCTGCATGCCCAGCTGAGTTCCTTTAATGATTCAGGGCTTGGTGTTTTGCTGAAGGAGTTTCCCGAGCCATATCGGGCTGTCCTGCAGGAACATTATCTCTCTGAAGGTTCGTTGAGCATCGGTGGCATTCTGAAAGGCATCGAAGCACTTCTTCAATGCGACGACCTGGACGCGCGGCGGCTTTTCAGGGTTGAGTCAGGCCCTCTCTTGCTTAAAGCCGAGGACTGCAGAATTGTCGTAGGGGCTCAGTTTGGATTATGTTGGGCTCGGGCTGCATGCTGTTTTTGAACTTGGAATTCGGAAGTGCCGGTTCTGTAGGGTGCGAGACGCGAAGATTCATGGTCCGGGGTTCACCCAAACTGGCAGCATTTATCATCCGTAGCTAACATCATCGGCATCGTCATGACCATGCTCGCCGTCACCAACACCATCGCCACCCGACCATCATACACCCCGCGGCAGAATCATTTCCGTCATCAGCATCATCACCCACCGCCATCCATATCGCCAAAGTCATCACTATCACCACCGCCATCGTCATCCCCGCAGCCGGCAGCCGCGATGAACATCACCACCGCTACGGTTAGCATCATCATCAGCGTGACATTGACCATAGTTACAACCGTAAGTCGCAATGAAACCAAAAGTGCTAGCAACTCCACTTGTACTCGGCGCAACCGTAGCAGCCATATCAAGCAATGGGATAATAGAAAAAACAGAAGTGTACATGTCGATAAAGCAGTCATGGCGATATTGCGGTAGCAACAATCGGGCCAGCAGCAAGCACTGAACAAGGTAATCGCAACAATAAGGGTCACTCACTGATACGCAGCTCCACAAGGCGCTGAGCGTTGCTCAACTTCGGGAAAGGATTGCAGCCATCTGTTATCAGAGGCTGAGGAGATCTGCGGAGATCTGCACAAAAGATGGGAAAACTTTGGCTACACCACTGCCGCATCGAGCAAGTAGACTGAAGGGTCCCACAAGCGCTTGTGTACAGGGATATTGGAGTTGGGGCTCATGAAAAGTTGGATAGGGTAAGATAGGGTTTAGGGATCATAGATAACGGTCGTTTTGCATTATCATTGACTATAATCCTTTACAATGTCACTTCGTCGGCGACATATTCGATGACATATTCGGTGACACTTTCGGTGATAATCGCAAAAACCTTCTCACTGAAATGATTCCGTAGGCTTAGCGACGACATATTCGATGACATATTCGATGACATCTTCGGTGAAATCTTCGTTGATTTGTTAATCGTAATATGGCATTATCAGGTGGCTCTCCGGCTCTCCTTCAGGCTTCGTTGACCTTTGTCTTAAAAGGGGGTTCGCGGCGCATGGCCGTGTCTGCTATTTCGTTCCAAAGCGCAGGGGCGGTTTCATCGAAGCGTGCTTGAGGATGTAAAAATGCATATGCTTCTACGAATGTGTCTAGAAGCCAGTTTGCTCTCGGTTTGCCGACCCTACGCACATGCTCGCTTCTAGGAATGTTCTTTCCCGGTTGAAACAGTATTTCCCGCATTGGGTCACTGTGTGGTGCCCTCAGGATATGGCCTAATAAGGTAAGTTTTTTCTGCTTCCATTTAACTGATAGTTTAACGTGATTGAATTTATGCATGTGCCACAGAGTGTCCACAACTCTTTGGTTTGTCCAGCTTCTGTCGATATGGGTAGGTGGTATATTGAGCACACGCCGGAACATTTTTAGTTGAAAAGCGTCGATTTGGTCTTGTTCACGACGCGTAAGTTGTATAGTTTCTAAGCCGTATACCAACTTGTTGAAGACAATGGATTCCATCACTCGTAGTTTCCATTTAATTGTTGTACGGGCTTTTGACCAGAACAAACCTAGTTGTTTGGCGACGGCTGTGGCTTCCCCGATTCTACGCGTAACTTCTTGGTGGTTGTCAACGGCGTCTGTTAGAGTTGCTCCAAGATATTTTGCCTGGGTTTTTCTCGGAACGGCCGACCCATCCATAAATTTGATAGAGGACTGCTTGCGATTGATAGTAAGATTGATACATTTTTCGAAATTAAGTTTCATATTATATCTAGCTGACTCTTCTTGTATTTGTCGCAGCAACTTGTTTATCGTGTGGGTGTGCGTTCCAAACAATAGTGTGTCGTCGGCATAAAGAACTTCTGCATAGCTAATGCCTGGTATAGGTTGTCTTTGCTTTGGTGTGCACAAAACTGATTTGATGTCCTGGAAGACTGCCGTCATTAGAACTCCAAAAAGGTATGGTGATAATGGACATCCCTGTCGTATTCCTGAATTTTGCGTCTGATAGTTGGAGCGGATGTGGCCTTTTACAACTCTAAATTTTGCATTTTCATAAATGTTCTGGACAATGCCGATGATACGTTGCGGTATACTTAACCGGGTTAGTACTTCGATGAGTTTGTCTTGGTCTACTTTGTCAAAAGCCTTTTCCCAGTCTAATAGTACAAGCGTTAAGTTGGTACCTTGCCTTTCTGCCATATCCATAAGTCTTCTTGCGATAAATAAGGCTTGCGATGTAGATTTTTTCTTTCGGAAGCCAAACTGGGTTTTTGACATCCACGGCTCCAGTGCAGGTTCTAAACGGTTCTTGACAAGAGCTGCCAACATTTTGTAGAAGGTCTGTAAAAGAGCTATTGGCCGATAATTTTCCAATTTCGCGGGATCTCCTTTTTTATAAATGGACGCGATGTTGGACAGATTGAGAGATTCCGGGTAATTGCCATGAAGCAGTATGTCGTTGAAATGAATTAGTAGCTTTGTCCTATTGTCGTTGTTCAACCATTTTACCAGCTCAGTATTAACCTCATCCGGCCCGGGACTCTTGTTGCATTTCAACCGCTTGATCACAGCATTGAACTCGTCAAGCTCAAAAGCAGATTGGTTAACTGTTGCCCCAACATCAGAAAGAGGAGCAGTCTTGGGTTCTTGAGCAGTTTCCGGCTTTTTCCATTGCACATTCGTTAAGTACTCTGCTGCCGCAGCAGGGAAGCTGCTTTCTGGAATGGGGTTGCCTGTCTTATCTTTGAATTTTGTGTGCCTTGGGAAGAACTTTTTCCTCATTTGTTTTATGCCTCTCCATTTATACCCTTGCTCGTCCATCTCTTCCAACTGTTGCAGCATATTCTTTCTTTTGTCACATCGGATTTGCTTCCTCAGTTGCTTTTCGAGTTCCCTTGCACTTTGTATGTTCCCTGCTTGATTGTGTTGTTGTTTCTTACATAGAAGGTCCCAAGCCTCTGCTGAAATATATGGTTTTCTTTGCTCTGGAGGAATTAACGTGAATGCATTAGTAGCCGCTTCATGAAGTATGTCGGCCCATATCTTTAGTGGGTCGTCTGTACACTGGAGTTCGCTTTTTGCAATCAGCTCCGAAATTTGAGTGTTGTAGCTATCTATCTGATTTTGCGTGGGGGGTCTATATTTTGTGCGATTCTTGGGTTGCGCATATCGCGCCTTCGCAAGTTTTACACGCAACGTAGCAAATAAAAGTTTGTGGTCCGTTGTAATTGAGTGACAGCAACTAGACTCAGCATTGGTCACCGCATTCTTCCACTTTGTATTGATCAATATGTAGTCCAGCTGGGCGAAGCGCGACGTCGTGTAAGGTTCCGAGAAGCTAAGAGTTGTAGGACTCCGGTACGTTACTAGTTTGGCGGGGTCCTTCTGAAATAATGTGTTTGTAGCCACTAGCCGGTTGTCTTGGCACATTGAGAGAAAGCGCTCGCGGTTGTCTTTCTGCTGTTCACTTAATAGGTCTATTCTGTCTTCGTGAGTACCGAAGATATGTTCACCTAAGATCATGTCTTCGTGTGGTAGTTTTTCCATAAGCCTCACATTGAAGTCACCGATTACTACATTCATTTCATGGTTGGGCAGCTTGCTTAGCGCACTATTTAGTTTGTCGTAAAAATCGTCCTTTTCCCTTTGAGGTCGAAGCGCATGTGGGGCATAGGCTACAATGATATTTGTACAGAGCGGTTGTGTATCAAACGTTGCTAGTAGAAGTCTGCCGTTTATTTGTTGTATGTTTTTCTTGTAAGGTCGTAGTTTATGGCTGTAAACCAATCCTACTCCGTGTTTTTCTGCATCCAAATTGTACAGCTGTATTTCGGATAATCCTGTATTTGCGTATTGCCTGTGTTGTTCTCTTTTTTGTTCTGCAGATACTTTAGCTTCATGAGAGATGCCCGACGAAAAGTAAAATAAGGGTAAAAGACACATTCACATGGTGATAGCATTGAGCACAACGGAGGAGCACAGAGCGCATGTCAAGACAAACCGAGCGAACACCATCATCTGAACACAATCCACACTGTACCTCGCTTGCTTTCCTTCTCGCTCTGGCAGTTTGTTCTGTCAGACTGTCCTTCCTTAGGGATCTCAGGACTCATATATCAAGGTTTTGGGCCTCAAGAGCATACTATACAAGGCTTTGGGGCTATTTTGATGCCTCGGGCTTCTCAGTTTCTGTAGGCAGTTGCTTCTTTTGTCGTGAAACTCCTCCACGCCGCTGAATCCTGATCTAGGTACTAGTGAACCTTAACTTCCCGTGTCTTCTCGACGGCGGGCACCACAGACGTCGAACCCCCACGACCCCGACCCTAAAGCACTAATCCAAACAGCACCTTTACAAGCAAGTCCCCGGAGTGAGAAGCGCGAAATCTCAAAATGCACCTACAACCCCTCACTGCACCACAGGGCGGAATATATTATGGATAAGGAATACTAATAAAAGTCATTCAGATCCCTATGTTGCAGCTTCGTGGGTTGGGGCTCCGTGCCTCAATGCTTAGAGACGGGTTCCTGAATAAGGTTCAAGGGCTTACAATAGCATTTATAGGAGCCGTGACAACTCGAACAGAGTCTTGGGGATATCGAGTACTATGATTTTAGGCAAGGAGCCCTCAGAAGAGGTATTGCTAACTTTTGGGGCTTCTACTGTTGCGACTTGACTCGCCTGACTTGCGGTTTCTGGGAGTTAGGGGTGGCAGTGGGGCTTAGGGACCCGCCTCCCGCGTCTTTTTGTCGATGGCTTTCCACACGATGCCATAGGCACCTCGGCCTAGCTTCTGGACGATCTCGTACCTGTGCGGAATTGAGCTGCCAGCGCAAACGTTTAGGGTTTAGGGTTTGGGGTTTAGGGTAAGGCCGGGTAGGAGTGACAGCACCGATCAAGTGTCATGCTGACAGGAGTCGCAGGCGCAAAGGTCCCTTCAATTAAATCGTTGACAGGAAGCACGTGGACTTCTGTTTACATATTTGAGGCTTACGGACAGCTTGAGCAAGTAAAGCTCGCACTTTACAGGGGGGATCGCCGGTTCTGTGGATTTCGCATCTCAGCCTTTGGACTTTACGACATACTAGAGCGTGTACTTGGGTTTGCTGGTGCGTGACTATGACGACGATGTTGAGCATGATGACGATGATGGCGACGAGGATGATGATGGTGATGATGTTGGCGATGATTGCAGTATGACCGGTGATAATCATACCAATAATTTATGAGCAAATTCGGATGACAAGGATGAAGTTGATGGTTTCCTCATGTCGACAATCATAAAGGTAATGACGGCAGTGGTGATGATGACAACGGTGATGGCGATGCTGATGACAGCAATGACATAAAATGACCGTACATAACTGACGACGATGAAGATGAAGGCGCGCATGTTCATTATGCAGTTATGCAAATGTTATGGCTGCTGGAGTGGCGATTACATGCTATTGCTGAGCGAGACGATGACGATGATGGCGCTGATCCAACGACAAGGACCAGAAGAATGTACACCACGATTGAGAAGCAACAAAGCACAATGACCACAATACTACAATGCCGATGAAGATGCCAGTGCCGACGCTGCTAATGCTCATGCTGCTGCTGGCTATGATGATGAATGCACATGGTGACGTTGCCGATTGTCTTCAAGAAGGTGATGATGACCAGCACTGGGCATGTGATTTGTTCATGCTCGTACACACTTACATGTTCATATCTTCGCTCATTTCTGTTCGCTAGGGCTTGCATACATCCGCGTGCTGTCAGCCCTAAACCCTAAACCCTGGCAAACCCGGTCCTTGGGCGCACTTCCTGAGAACATGCCTGTCGATTTCCTCGCTCATGGCCCTGGCATGAGCTTCTCTCCAACCTTAATTACTATTAGTATTAATATTATTAATAATATTAGTAAAAATATTAATAATAGTATTGTTATTAGTATTAGTACTATATTAGTATTAGTATTAATACGAGACCAAAAACCCTAAACTCTCAACCTGAACCTCAATTCTGCTATCCCTAAACACGAAAAACAAGAAGAAGACAAGCAACTATATGATCCATAATAGCTGTATTAGAGTAACAACACGACGACTACCCAGGCGGTAGTATGAATAATTACTCAGAGCTCTATACTTGCTTCGAAGCTCTCCCCACGAGGGCTTTGGAGTGTAAGGCTTTTATCAGCTTGAGCCATCAACCTCTCAATTCCTAAATTGTTGCCTAAGCCTTAAAACCCTCGAAGCCAAAACCCGCTCAGCCCTAGAAGGATGCACATTGAGCCTCGATGTAGCTTTGGCAATATTGCCGGCGCTTATTACTTTTGCTGCTGTCGTTGTTGCTGTTGTCCCTGTTGTTATCTTCGTGCTTCCGACTGTGCCGGTGCCCGTGTTTCGGTGCCGCCCTAAACCCACCCCTAAACCCCCAAACCCCTAAACCCCTAAACCCTAAACCCTAAACCTTAAACCCTAAACCTTGAACCCTAAACCCTAAACCTTAAACCCTAAACCTTAAACCCCTAAACGCTTGCGTGTGTTGGTTTTGGCTCTCTTGCTGCTTGCCGCAGCTTCCACCTTCAACCCGGCCCAGGGGTCTTTTGCAAATTAGGGCTTAGGGTAGATAGATCCCTATAATGATCCCTTTAAGGAACCCCTATAGATCCCTTTGAGGGAACCCCTAAGGAACCCTAAGGGTATAGGCTATATGGGGTTTTTGGGCTTACAGGGGTTTAGGAAGTTTAGGGATTAGGGTTCATAGGGCTTGGGCTTTAGGGTGCTTGCCTCTTGCAACCTCTCCACAACCTCATGTGGCGCGCTCGCAAACAAGAAAACCGACTGAACCATGACCCTAAATCCTAAACACCAAAACCCTACCCTTCAATCCGGAACCCTCCAAAAGAAATTCGAAAACTGACGCCAAAAGCCCGATCCACGATAGCTAAACTTCCTACAGTAAGCCCCTGAGAATCCTGTAACTATCAGGTAGACCCTGAGCCTTTTAGAAGCCGGGGGGACTCAGTAACCAGGATATATCTAGGGTTATAAGTACCATAAATGGATTTACCCCAACTATAACAACCCTAATGTAGAAACCTGATTAAGAAACCCTGGGCATATGGCCCCAAAATAGTAGGATTCATGTAAGGAAGCTTAAACGAGGCCCAAGGTTTCTTAATCGGGTTCCCACATTATATACTTATAATCGACTTGCTAAGTTTTCTGGGCCTCCAAATACTATCATTCCTGAAACCAAAAGCCCTGCAGGAGAGCCCTCACACTGCCTCTCGCCAAAAAGCGGCGAGACCCCGCGCGCCAACCTGTCGCAGGCTTCGGGTCTAGGATTCAGGGTTTAGGATCCATGGTTTACCTGTAGCCACAAAGACCTCCCTTTTTAAGGATCTATATATATATATATATATATATATAGAAACCATAATAAGGAACCCTAAAAAGGTAGATCTTTTCGGCTACAGGTAGGGTTTAGGAGGGCTCACCCCCACTTTCGTGTTGTAATATGGGTTGTGAACATACGGACTCGGTTCTGGTATACTGCACTACAAGTTATGAGTATGTGATAACTATGAAAGGGCGTTGTTTGTACAGATTATTCAAACCTGCAGCCTGCAGCACTTCTTGTACTCGTTTTCGCATCTTTCAACGTCAGGTCTCTTGGCGAAGAGGTCGGGCCAAAACGAGGCTGGGTGATGACAGATCGCCGCTTGATAAGAGCAGGGTTTAGGGTTGAGTGGCAGCACTTCTTGTACTCGTTTCCGCATCTTTCAACGTCAGGTCTCTTGGCGAAGAGGTTGGGCCAAAACGAGGCTGGGTGATGACAGATCGCCGCTTGATAAGAGCAGGGTTTAGGGTTGAGTGTGGGTCAGGTACCCAAGGCTTCGCGCACCAGACTATATAATCGAAGTCAGAATATTAGAACCTTAATTCATGGTGTATTCTTTCATTGAACAGTATTGGGCACTCTGGGATTTCAACAAAGCCTCAATCCTACACTAGCCGTTTTTAAAACACGAGTATTGGAACGGAGGGCAGACGTCCTCGATGATCGGGTTAAGATCCATGAGCGTAATCTAGTTTTCATATGGAGGGTTTATGCAGGAGCAATATAGAATTATAGAAGTAAAGCTGTGGAATGCACCATAGTGGTCCGTCACGGCTTAGTTTGCTCAAACATGCCGTGCTGCAGCATAGCTGAACACTACAACCGACAATCCAAATGTTACATAAACAGTAGATGTGTCTGAGAGGAAACAGCCCGGCCACAACATCATGTACTGAACTAGTCCACGCTGCTACCAGGTATGACTCAAAGCATGGCATGCACAACTGGTGGAATGCAGCCAGAGAAAAAATAATGTACGTAACATGATGCCGACTGACATGACGACATGAAATAGGAAGCTGCTTGCCGGCAGCCCAAGCTGATCAGTTAAAATGCAGCGGCAGTAATTGCCGTCAGGTAGCACACACAGTGCTGGAGTATGTGTTGCCAAAAGTTTAGACGCTTCAATGCCTTTGGGGCCTTCAGATATCTGGAAATCGGATGCAGGATTATTTGTTTTGAAGGATCTCCAAGACTATTCCTTAGGGTTCCTGCTATAAAATTGAATACAAAATACACCAGACGCCTATTCTAAGTATGAAGGCCCCTATTTCACAGGTTTTTGAGTCTTCAGCGCCCCAGCCCCGCCTGATTCGATTGGCACCTATATCATCAAGCTACGCTGGTCCGAGCCAAAAGGCGTGCCGCGATGATGATGATGATGATGATGGTGACCATAACAGTCATGCAGCAGGAGTAGCAGTGGCAGTGGCAGTGGCAGTGGCAGTGGCAGTGGCAGTAGCAGTAGCAGTAGCAGTAGCAGTAGCAGTAGCAGTAGCAGTAGCAGTAGGAGTAGTAGTAGTAGTAGTAGTAGTAGTAGGAGTAGTAGTAGTAGTAGTAGTAGTAGTAGTAGTAGTAGTAGTAGTAGTAGTGGTAGTAGCAGCAGCAGCAGCAGTAGTAGTAGTAAGTCTAAGTCCTAGTCCTAGGACTACTAGTACTAGTACTACTACTCTTCGGAGTCACTCCTTCATGTGGCTGCCCTCAGTTGAGACCTGAGTTTGGGGACATAGGCTCGTTCACGAACATACTGACTGAGTGAGAATGCCTCTGTTACGATGAGGTTCAGATACCAGAAAACGAACGCTTCACCGTCCAAGATGAACTTTCTCACAGTCGATGTTGCATCCTCCTCACCTTTGACTGACCCACCAAACCGCTTCACAAAAAGTTTAAGTTTAAGCTACATCACGAAGAACAACACTGCGATTCGATCTAAACCCTACAACCCGATGCTTTAGAGGAGTATCAGTCTAGTGCTTAGGGTTTAGATTTCGCGGCTCTACAGTGCCCATTTCCTTGCATGTAGTGGCGACGGCTTTTGAGTGACTGCGTCGGCCGTGGCATGCTTTGCAGTGCTCGGGAGGTCATCGGTGAGTTAGCTGATGGATACATAATACGAAAGCACTGAACCCCGAAACCCTGCTGCAAAGTCCTCACAGCAATCCCGAGCGCTGCTCGTTAATTCAGCTCACTAACACTCTTCAGCTGCGGCCAGTTGGAACGGTAATGCAGAATGGGATTTTAGGGGTTCCCTATTATAGCTATAGTACAATGGGCCCCAAAACCATATTCCAATTATTAAGGACCATATACTATAGAACCCTACAAACAGATAAATACAAGCAGATTCAAGGATCTGTATGGCTCCACGAACCCTCATCTTCAAAGGCCAAGACTTCTGGACAGAGGTCCTAAACCCTATGCCCTAAACCCTAAACCCCTAAAACCTAAACTCCTACACCCCTATACCCCTAAACCCCTAAACCCTAAACCCTAAACCCCTAAACCCTAAACCCTACACCCCTATACCCCTAAACCCCTAAACCCTAAAGCCCTAAAGCCCTGGCTCAAAGTTCTTCTGGGCTGATGCTCACCGAGAAACGCGGCTTGTCTCCGATTATCCCCGCAACTCCGAGTTTGCAAGGATACTGAGCAAATGGGAGTTTCCGAAAATTTAGGGGTACCTTTATTTTAGGGCTCTTAAAAAAAGGGTCCTACTACTGAGGGTACGGTATTCGGGTCCCCTAGAGGTTCAGGGTTTCGTGGCTTGAAGCAAACCAGAGAGACATGGTGGCCACACAGCAGAAGACGTCTGCTGATCCTGCGACGGCCTCCTGCTCTTACTTTCTGCACTATATAAAGTTTAGGGCTTAGGTTTAGGGCTTGGGGTTTAGGGAGTTTAAGGCTGTGTTTAGGGTTCAGGGTTGCTTAGGACGTCTTCGTCATCTGGGCCCAAAGGCCTCAAAATCCTGAATCCCGAATCCTATCCCACCCGTAACTCGGGAAATAAGGGTACTACTGGGCATCCTAGTCGAGGTTTAAGCTTGCCGGCTTCGAGGTTTACAGTGCTCTGAGGTGCTCTACTCTACAGTCTGATCTGGCACTGCTATGGTAATTTACTTCGTGCTGTGGAAGCACTTGGAGGCCCAGGGAGTAGGTTATAAGTAGAGTTGTAAGTGCCCTAAATGGAGTTACCCCAAAAATAAGCCTACTTATAACCTACTTACCAAGTCCCCTGGGCCGCCAAGCATGAGGTTTCATCGCTCAGTCCCATCGCAGAGCAGTCGCGGGGTCGATGTGGGGCACTCGTCTGTTGGCCGCTTAGTCCTCGTCCTGGTCCTGGCATACGTCCGCTTTATAAAACAGGCAGCATGGATACAGACCTCTGAACAGTAAGAGATAGATATTGTGTGCCTGTTCACACCAGGATGCAAGTTTTCGTGCCACACGACAGAGTTTCTGAAGGCCAGTGTCGCCGCCCGCAGCTGGGACCAGTCAAGCACCCAGGTCTAACAGCGGAGTCTTCTGCGACACAAGCGAAGATGCGAGCAAGGAACTTCAACGCAGGCAACCCGAGTCACCTGCACTCCAAGCCGTCGGTGAAACAGTTTTGAGGCGACCGCAGGACGCCTGGCTCGACCCTCGTGCTAGGGGGTTTGCCAGTGTCCACCGCAGGCCACCACAAAAATGATGCAAGAAAACAGCAGTCCTCCTTCAAGGAATCTGCATGGCTCATTAGCAGTCGCACGTCATCACTACGTCATCCTTTCCACTCAGAACGTGGAGGTGTCAATCACGAAGCGGTACTTCACATCGGACTTCACCACGCGGTCGTAGGACTCACTGATCTTGTCACCGCTGATGAGCTCGTGGGGGCAGATGATGTTGTGCTTTCCGCAGAAGTCCAGCATCTCCTGCGTCTCCCGAATGCCGCCAATGAGGGAGCCTGTGATCGTCTTGCGCTTGGGGATGATGGAGAAGGCATGGAAGTCCAGCGGCTCTGCAGGCACTCCAACCATTACGAACTTGCCGTTCTGCCTCAAGAAGCTGAGGTATGTCGGGATGTCATGCTTGGCTGCGATGGTATCGATGATCATGTCGAGGGAGCTAGCAGCCGCCTCCACGTCCGAGTCGTTGGACATCACGACGAACTTGTCCGCCTTCAGCTCCTTCATGGCCTCGTCGCGCTTGCCCTCGCTGCGCGACAGGACCGTGACCTCACAGCCCCAGGCCTTGCCGATCATCACTGCCATGGCGCCCAAACCACCGAGGCCAGCCACACCCAGCTTCTGACCTGCCTTGAGACCGTTGTAAGCCATCGGCGAGTAGACGGTGATGCCTGCACACAGCAGGGGCGTGGCACCAGCAAGATCCAGGTTGTCGGGGATCCGGCACACGTAGTTCTTGTCGACCACGATGCTCTGAGCGTAGCCACCATAGGTGGGCTTGCCGCCGTCCTCGGTGTACTCCAGGCAGTGCTTGTACTTGTACTTGCCGTTGTAGGTCATGACGGCACCCGTGGCGCAGTAGTTCTCATCACCCTCCTTGCAGGACTGGCATTCACGGCAGCTGTCCACCATGCAGCCAACGCCGACCTTGTCACCCACCTTGAAGCTGGTGACGTTGGGGCCCACAGCAGTGACGAAGCCACCGATCTCGTGGCCAGGCACCATCGGGAAGATGGCGCTGCCCCATTCCTCACGGGCCTGGTGCACGTCTGAGTGGCAGATGCCGGCGTACTTGATGTCAATGGCAACATCGTCAGGGCCCACAGCACGGCGCTCGATCGTGTGAGGCACCAGGGGGCCGGCAGGCACCAAGGCGGCGTAGCACTTGCAAGACATGGTGGACTGAACTGCGGAAGTACGTCTGCTACCTGACACCTCGATTTTCACGGGGACTGGTCGAGCCTATAAGCTCAAAATGCAAACAACATATAATGTAAAGTGTAAGGCCACCTCCGCCTTTCTTGCCATGTCTGCGCTGCAAGCCTACTGTAGCTTGTGAACACTTGGACTACCATGTTACGGTGAAGCAGCTCCTAAACAGACTGATGCACGTAGTAGTAGCAGTAGTACTGGTAGTAGTAGTAGCAGCAGCAGTCGTCGTCGTCGTGGTCGTGGTGTCACCGCTTTACGCAGTCGGCTGGACATGGAAATTGCCAAATCGAACCGGGCACAGGCACCGCACCGTGAACGAGTTTTTGCAAAGAGCTTCCGATGAGAGTCTGTGCAAAACACCTGAAGGCCGGTGTCGCCGCCCGCAGCTGGGACCAGTCAAGCACCCAGGTCTAACAGCGGAGTCTTCTGCGACACAAGCGAAGATGCGAGCAAGGAACTTCAACGCGGGCAACCCGAGTCGCCTGCACTCCAAGCCGTCGGTGAAAGAGTTTTGAGGCGACCGCAGGACGCCTGGACCGACCTTCGTGCTAGAGGGTTTGCCAGTGTCCACCGCAGGCCACCACAAAAATGATGCAAGAAAACAGCAGTCCTCCTTCAAGGAATCTGCATGGCTCATTAGCAGTCGCTTTCCACTCAGAACGTGGAGGTGTCAATCACGAAGCGGTACTTCACATCGGACTTCACCACGCGGTCGTAGGACTCACTGATCTTGTCACCGCTGATGAGCTCGTGGGGGCAGATGATGTTGTGCTTTCCGCAGAAGTCCAGCATCTCCTGCGTCTCCCGAATGCCGCCAATGAGGGAGCCTGTGATCGTCTTGCGCTTGGGGATGATGGAGAAGGCATGGAAGTCCAGCGGCTCTGCAGGCACTCCAACCATTACGAACTTGCCGTTCTGCCTCAAGAAGCTGAGGTATGTCGGGATGTCATGCTTGGCTGCGATGGTATCGATGATCATGTCGAGGGAGCTAGCAGCCGCCTCCACGTCCGAGTCGTTGGACATCACGACGAACTTGTCCGCCTTCAGCTCCTTCATGGCCTCGTCGCGCTTGCCCTCGCTGCGCGACAGGACCGTGACCTCACAGCCCCAGGCCTTGCCGATCATCACTGCCATGGCGCCCAAACCACCGAGGCCAGCCACACCCAGCTTCTGACCTGCCTTGAGACCGTTGTAAGCCATCGGCGAGTAGACGGTGATGCCTGCGCACAGCAGGGGCGTGGCACCAGCAAGATCCAGGTTGTCGGGGATCCGGCACACGTAGTTCTTGTCGACCACGATGCTCTGGGCGTAGCCACCATAGGTGGGCTTGCCGCCGTCCTCGGTGTACTCCAGGCAGTGCTTGTACTTGTACTTGCCGTTGTAGGTCATGACGGCACCCGTGGCGCAGTAGTTCTCATCACCCTCCTTGCAGGACTGGCATTCACGGCAGCTGTCCACCATGCAGCCAACGCCGACCTTGTCACCCACCTTGAAGCTGGTGACGTTGGGGCCCACAGCAGTGACGAAGCCACCGATCTCGTGGCCAGGCACCATCGGGAAGATAGCGCTGCCCCATTCCTCACGGGCCTGGTGCACGTCTGAGTGGCAGATGCCGGCGTACTTGATGTCAATGGCAACATCGTCAGGGCCCACAGCACGGCGCTCGATCGTGTGAGGGACCAGGGGGCCGGCAGGCACCAAGGCGGCGTAGCACTTGCAAGACATGGTGAACTAAAGTGCGGAAGTAAGTCTGCTACCTGACACCTCGATTTTCACGGGCACGACGCCGGTGGTTGAGCCTGTAAGCTCGACATGCAACCGCGACATATTATGTACGGTGCATGGCCATCCCCGCTGTTCTTGCAATGCCTGCGTTGCAAATCACAGACCAAGTACTTCCAACGAACAAATGCATGAATGAACGAACGAACGAAGGAAGGAAGGAAGGAAGGAAGGAAGGAATGAATGAATGAATGATTGAATGAATTCATGCATGAAAGAAAGAATGAATGAATGAATGAACGAATGAATGAACGAACGAATGAACGAATGAATGAACGAATGAATGAATGAATGAATGAACGAACGAACGAACGAAGGAACGAAGGAACGAACGAACGAACGAACGAACGAATGAATGAACGAACGACCGAACGAAGGAATGAATGAATGAATGTATGAATGTATGAAGGAATGAAGGAATGAAGGAATGAAGGAATGAAGGAACGAAGGAACGAAGGAATGAATGAACGAAGGAACGAAGGAACGAAGGAATGAAGGAATGAAGGAATGAAGGAATGAAGGAATGAAGGAATGAAGGAACGAAGGAACGAAGGAACGAAGGAATGAAGGAATGAAGGAATGAAGGAACGAAGGAACGAAGGAATGAAGCAATGAAGCAATGAAGCAATGAAGGAATGAAGGAATGAAGGAACGAAGGAACGAAGGAACGAAGGAACGAAGGAACGAAGGAACGAAGGAACGAACGAACGAACGAAGGAAGGAAGGAAGGAAGGACTGACTGCGTGAGTGAGTGAGTGAGTGAGTGAGTGAGTGACTGACTGTCTGACTGACTGACTGACTGACTGAATGACTGAATGAATGAATGAATGAACGAATGAACGAACGAAGGAACGAAGGAACGAAGGAACGAACGAACGAACGAACGAACGAACGAATGAATGAATGAATGAACGAATGAATCAACGAACGAACGAACGAATGAATGAATGAATGAATGAACGAACGAACGAACGAATGAATGAATGAACGAATGAACGAATGAATGAATGAATGAATGAACGAATCAATGAACGAATGAATGGATGAATGGATGAATGGAGGAATGGATGAATGGAGGGATGAATGAATGAATGGATGAATGGATGAATGGATGAATGGATGAATGAATGAATGAATGAATGATTGATTGAAGGAATGAAGGAATGAAGGAATGAAGGAATGAAGGAACGAAGGAACGAAGGAACGAAGGAACGAAGGAACGAAGGAATGAAGGAATGAAGGAATGAAGGAATGAAGGAATGAAGGAACGAAGGAACGAAGGAATGAATGAACGAAGGAACGAAGGAATGAAGGAATGAAGGAATGAAGGAATGAAGGAATGAAGGAATGAAGGCATGAAGGCATGAAGGAATGAAGGAATGAAGGAATGAAGGAATGAAGGAATGAAGGGAGGAAGGGAGGAAGGAAGGGAGGAAGGAAGGGAGGAAGGAAGGAATGAAGGAAGGAAGGAATGAAGGAATGAAGGAATGAAGGAATGAAGGAATGAAGGAATGAAGGAATGAAGGGATGAAGGAATGAAGGAATGAATATAATGAATGAATGAATGAATGAAGGAACGAAGGAATGAATGAATGAATGAATGAATGAAGGAATGAAGGAATGAAGGAATGAAGGGAGGAAGGGAGGAAGGAAGGAATGAAGGAAGGAAGGAAGGAATGAAGGAATGAAGGAAGGATTGAAGGATTGAAGTCAGGAAGGAATGAAGGAAGGAAGGAAGGAAGGAATGAAGGAAGGAAGGAATGAAGGAATGAAGGAATGAAGGAATGAAGGAAGGAAGGGAGGAATGAAGGAATGAAGGAGTGAAGGAATGAAGGAATGAAGGCATGAAGGGATGAAGGAATGAAGGAATGAAGGAATGAAGGAATGAAGGAATGAAGGAAGGAAGGAAGGAATGAAGGAATGAAGGAACGAAGGAATGAAGGGATGAAGGAATGAAGGAATGAATATAATGAATGAATGAATGAATGAATGAAGGAAGGAACGAAGGAATGAATGAATGAATGAATGAATGAATGAAGGAATGAAGGAATGAAGGAATGAAGGAATGAAGGAATGAAGGAATGAAGGAATGAAGGAATGAAGGAACGAAGGAACGAAGGAACGAAGGAACGAAGGAATGAAGGAAGGAAGGAATGAAGGATTGAAGGAATGAAGGAATGAAGGAATGAAGGAATGAAGGAATGAAGGAATGAAGGAATGAAGGCATGAAGGCATGAAGGCATGAAGGAATGAAGGAATGAAGGAATGAAGGAATGAAGGAATGAAGGAATGAAGGGAGGAAGGGAGGAAGGAAGGAAGGGAGGAAGGGAGGAAGGCAGGAATGAAGGAAGGAAGGAATGAAGGAATGAAGGAATGAAGGAATGAAGGAACGAAGGAACGAAGGAACGAAGGAACGAAGGAATGAAGGAATGAAGGAATGAAGGAATGAAGGAATGAACGAATGAAGGAATGAAGGAATGAAGGAATGAAGGAATGAAGGAACGAAGGAACGAAGGAACGAAGGAACGAAGGAACGAAGGAACGAAGGAACGAAGGAACGAAGGAACGAACGAACGAACGAACGAATGAATGAATGAATGAATGAATGGACGGACGAAATGAATGAACGAAAGAATGAAACAATGAAAGAATGAGATAATAAAAGAATGAAACAAAGAATTAATGACTCGACTCTGACTTACTGAGTGAATCACTTTCTGCGTGACTGCCTGAATGAGTGACTGAGTGTGCATGATTGTGTGTGACTCCCAGTGACTCTGAGTGACTCTGAGTGACTGTGGGTGGCCGCCAGTGAGTGTGACTGAGTGAGTAAGTAAGCGAGTCAGTAAGTGCATGGGTGAGTGGGTGGGTGGAGTCGTGACTGAGTGACTGAATGAATGAGGGAGCGAAGTGAAAGAGTGAAGCAACAAGGAACGAAGCAATGAAGGAACGAACAAGCCACGTATGCGTCGTGGCGGTGGAAGAAGCCTGGCCCACAGAGGCCACCCAAATCAAACCCCACCGTCTCCCCATTAACACCCGAGGAAAAAGGGTCTGATTGAAAAAAGCGATTACCATGCAAGAAGGAGGGCAGTCTCTGCAGAAGAGAGCCAAAGTCCCAGGCATGTGACTACGCCTGGCTACGCCTTGCCACAGCTTCGCGCAGTCAGCTTGGACATCAACCCCGCACTGGCAATTGCCCAATCGAACTGGGAAAAAGCAGCTCTTCGCCAAGATCAACAAACAAAGCTCAGTACACCGCAACGTAAACTGGGTTTTGCAAAGAGCTTCCGATGAGAGTCTGTGCAAAACACCTGAAGGCCGGTGTCGCCGCCCGCAGCTGGGACCAGTCAAGCACCCAGGTCTAACAGCGGAGTCTTCTGCGACACAAGCGAAGATGCGAGCAAGGAACTTCAACGCGGGCAACCCGAGTCGCCTGCACTCCAAGCCGTCGGTGAAAGAGTTTTGAGGCGACCGCAGGACGCCTGGACCGACCTTCGTGCTAGAGGGTTTGCCAGTGTCCACCGCAGGCCACCACAAAAATGATGCAAGAAAACAGCAGTCCTCCTTCAAGGAATCTGCATGGCTCATTAGCAGTCATCCTTTCCACTCAGAACGTGGAGGTGTCAATCACGAAGCGGTACTTCACATCGGACTTCACCACGCGGTCGTAGGACTCACTGATCTTGTCACCGCTGATGAGCTCGTGGGGGCAGATGATGTTGTGCTTTCCGCAGAAGTCCAGCATCTCCTGCGTCTCCCGAATGCCGCCAATGAGGGAGCCTGTGATCGTCTTGCGCTTGGGGATGATGGAGAAGGCATGGAAGTCCAGCGGCTCTGCAGGCACTCCAACCATTACGAACTTGCCGTTCTGCCTCAAGAAGCTGAGGTATGTCGGGATGTCATGCTTGGCTGCGATGGTATCGATGATCATGTCGAGGGAGCTAGCAGCCGCCTCCACGTCCGAGTCGTTGGACATCACGACGAACTTGTCCGCCTTCAGCTCCTTCATGGCCTCGTCGCGCTTGCCCTCGCTGCGCGACAGGACCGTGACCTCACAGCCCCAGGCCTTGCCGATCATCACTGCCATGGCGCCCAAACCACCGAGGCCAGCCACACCCAGCTTCTGACCTGCCTTGAGACCGTTGTAAGCCATCGGCGAGTAGACGGTGATGCCTGCACACAGCAGGGGCGTGGCACCAGCAAGATCCAGGTTGTCGGGGATCCGGCACACGTAGTTCTTGTCGACCACGATGCTCTGAGCGTAGCCACCATAGGTGGGCTTGCCGCCGTCCTCGGTGTACTCCAGGCAGTGCTTGTACTTGTACTTGCCGTTGTAGGTCATGACGGCACCCGTGGCGCAGTAGTTCTCATCACCCTCCTTGCAGGACTGGCATTCACGGCAGCTGTCCACCATGCAGCCAACGCCGACCTTGTCACCCACCTTGAAGCTGGTGACGTTGGGGCCCACAGCAGTGACGAAGCCACCGATCTCGTGGCCAGGCACCATCGGGAAGATGGCGCTGCCCCATTCCTCACGGGCCTGGTGCACGTCTGAGTGGCAGATGCCGGCGTACTTGATGTCAATGGCAACATCGTCAGGGCCCACAGCACGGCGCTCGATCGTGTGAGGGACCAGGGGGCCCGCAGGCACCAAGGCGGCGTAGCACTTGCAAGACATGGTGGACTGAAGTGCGGAAGTAAGTCTGCTACCTGACACCTCGATTTTCACGGGCACGACGCCGGTGGTTGAGCCTGTAAGCTGGAAATGCGGCATCACAATGTCACTGATGAACAATCATCGTCCTCGCAGTCTCACTACCGACATGGACCTTGCAAATTATAGTGGCTCACCTCCGCACCAAAGCATGCTTCCGACAGAGCGCCATGCATGGGCTTTCACAAGCACTCACAACATGGGTTTGCCCGCCTTCTCCTTCTCCAAGTTGGCCCTGGTGCACCCAGAAGATATGCGGCAAACTACAACCCCACCAACGCCTTACAAGGTCATGTTGAAACCCTTCCTGGGATATGGGCAGTTCTCGAGATCAGGGTCCCTTTGTAGGTTCTGAAAATAATACGGCCTCCTTACAAAAAAGGACCCTGAAAGCCACCCTCATTCCAAAAACTGCCCATGTGGACCTTGGAACCACGAGAGGACAGAATTAAGCTGGCTTCATAACTAGAATCGGATTTGGTGGTATGTGTCGTATAATTAGACGCTTCAATCATGTAGGCGCCATAAGGAACTGCTATTACTAATTATTACGACCCTGTACTAGGCAAAATTAAAGGCCAGTACGGTGTGTACATCTTTCCCGGGGGAGACCCTAGGCTTTCGCTGTTGGGGTTTAGGGTTCAGGATTATAAAGGTTAAGAGGGGCTTATATACTTAGAGGCCCAGGGGATTTAGTAAATACGTTCTACCTGGTGCCAACAGTTCCCAAAGTGGAGTTATTTCAAGTATAACCCTAAAAGTTGACCTACAAATAACCGACTTAATAAGTCCCCTGAGCCTCCAAGTAACCTTAAACCTGCCTTTGTAGAACCCTTATAGATGCCCCTTAATTTGAGCCCTTTAAGGAAGCCTCTAGGGAGAGCTGGTTTGCAGGAGTCTGCATGAGCACGAAGGGTTTCCGTCACCGGGAGCCAGGCTTGGCTCGGCGTTCTCGAAGCTTCTCTTTGAAGAGCTCTTCCTTGGTGTACTTGAAGGCCCAGGGGACTTAGTAAGTAGGTTATAAGTACGGATATAAGTACCCTAAATGGAGTTACCCCAATTATAACCCTACTTACTAAGTCCCCTTGAGCCTCTAAGTAAAGCTTAAACGGTTGAGTGGGCTGCTATGAAGTTCCTTGCAGGGGCTGCTTAGTAAAATCACCAACCGCTCAATCCCCGAAACCCCCGGAGCCCTTGTCTTTGCGGCACATGCATGCAAGAGGCGTCGAAGTCATCGGTAGGCAGGTCAGTGGCGCCTCCACCGCCGCCTCCCCCTCCTGTGACCTGCAAAGGGTTCGAACCAGATTGCATAAGGCTTCTCTGGGGAAATTTCGGACCATTACGGGTTCAGGGCTTTGAGTTTTGGCTGTTAGGTCTACCGAGATTCTGAACCCTGAATGCCTAACCCTCCAACCTCGATCCGACGCTGTAAAGCGGTCTAGGGTATGGGGTTTAGGGTTTGGGGTTTAGGGTTTAGGGTTTAGGGGTATGGGGTTTAGGGTTTAGGGTTTGGGGTTTAGGGTTTAGGGGTATGGGGTTTAGGGTTTAGGGTTTGGCAAAGCCTGAAGAGTTTGGAACTTGAGTCCGAAGTGAACCCTGCCATAGGCGCCTTAACAAGTAGACAGGAATTTTGCCTTGTGACTTATAACTCATGGACTTTGGTTATATATATATATACACATACATACATACATACATACATACATACATACATACATACATACATACATACATACATACATACATACATATATATATATATATATATATGTGGATATACATATATATATATATATATATATATATATATATGTATATATACGCATCTTATACAAGGGACTTATATGTATGGCAACATTAATAATTACTTGCTCCGATCCCCGTACAACACCCTAACCCGTGGCTTTGGGTCACGAGATCTGCAAACGAAACCGGGAAATCGAAGCAGATACCGCACAGATACTCCCCAAACGCATTGAGTGGCGTATATATGGCATTTGAGTTTTAGGTTCTAGGTGTTCAGTACACACCAAAAACCTAGAACTCAAACCCCAAATGGCTTTGATAAGTTTGCGGCTTAGGGCGCAAGTGTTGGAAGTTCGGGTTTAGGGTGGAGTTGTTTTTCTGGTTCTTGGTTTTAGGGTTTAGAGTCAGTTTAGAGCCCTGTAGAATGTATGGGAATGGATTTTCAAACTGGGTTTTTGCAAGTGCCTGGTGCTGCAAAGCTGTCATGCAAGCGGAAGTAGAGCAATATGTGCTTTGTCGTAGAAGTACATTTACCAGGGCTTTCCCTAAACCCTAAACCCTAAACTCTAAACCGTTTAGGCCTGCAAAACTCAAAACCCGAAACCAGAAGACTCAAACTTGTTTTGTACTTTTGACATCTTGCCCGCGCCCACATCTCGGAAAAGGAAGCCACCTGCATGCAGTGCAAACACCCCAAACAGGCAAGCAATGATAGAAACCAGAGAGGAAGAATAACACAAGAAACATGCAAACAAAACTCACCCTGGCCCCAGACACTTTTCGGCGCTCTTGGGAAGAGATACCCTGTACAAAACAAGTATTGAGTCATAGTAAGACAAGGTATACTCCATTCCTCCTGAACCGTCAAAACCTCCACCAAGGTACTAAAGCTCTAAACACTAGGCCCTGGAACACTAAACCCCTGAAGGCACCTGGAAGTTTCCGCAAACAAGGGACCCGTATATCGTACCCTGAATAATAGGATCCTTATCAGAAAGACCCCCAAAATAAGGTACCCCAATTTTCGGAAATTCTAAACCCTAAACCCTGTATAGAAACCGTAATTATAGATTTCTTGAAGGAACCCTTCTTTAAAGGTACCCCCTAACTATCGGAAACTCCCACACAGCGGCCTTCTTGATGTTCCAGAAGATCACGCCAATCAGTGCGATGCCGAAGACACCGATCTTGGGAAACCTGAAAAGTTCCCCAGGGGTAGGGTTTAGGGTTTGGGTTTTTGGTTGAGGGTTTAGGATTGTGGTTTTATGAGGACTCCAAATGGTTTGTTTTAGGGTCGAATAGTATGCTGTTGGGTTTCTCAAGCTGCTGGCTTTTCATGGCGCTCATATGGTTTGAGGGGGCGGGAGTTAGAGGGAGTTGCAGGGGGAGCAGAAGTGATAAGTTGAATAGAGGTTTAAAGGTTTTTACCGAGGAGCAGAAGAAAGGGTTTTGGGCTTCGTGCTTCGGGTTAGAAAATATCTCAAGGTACAGGGGGCTGCACCACTAACAACGATATTTAGTGAGGGTTTACCGAGGAACTGTATGGGGTGATCTGTAGGATCTCAGGTGGAAGAAATTTATGGGTTTAGGGACTCTGGTTTGAGAAGTCTCGGGGGGCTCCGGCGTCCGGATCTAAGCGCTCTGGCGTCTGGAGCTTAGAAGTTTAAAGGCCCTAAACCGCACAGTAGAAGCCAGAAAGTTGGAACATCATTATCCCCATGGCCTTAAGGTAAAGTATAAGGGATCCTAGCACTAATCCTCCTAAATCCATGTTCCAACTTTCTGGCTTCTACTATTGCTAGGATACCCAGTAACCTAAGAATAAAAAGGCCTCTCTTTTTGGTATTGGGTAACTTTAAGGAACCTAGGACTACAAAAAGGGAATAAGGGTACTACTGGGCATCCTAGATAGGAGTTTCGAGGCTCTGCCTGTCAGGGCTCAGGGCTTAGGGATGTACGTAGTGCTTCAGGTTAGAGGACCTGTGGGATGTGACCTACTTGGGGGATCATGGGACTTAGTAATTAGGGTCCTTCAGGGGTCCCTTTAAGGGAATCTATAGGGGTACTGTAAGGGTTTAGGGTTTAGGATCTACTTAAAAGAATCATGGGACTTAGTAAGTAAGGTTCTAAATAAGGTAACTATACTTATGATTCCTTATAACCCCAATTACAGTACTTATAACCTTACTTACCGAGTCCCAGGATCCTCCAAGTACCCTCAGCCTCAGCCACTGGGTAGCCGGTTTAGCTTTTAACGAAGGCACTGTGAAGTAAGACGAACAACATCAATCACACTGGCACTGGTAATACCAGTTCAACACATGTGGGGGTTTCCGAAAATAGGGGACCCTAATATAGTACCCTAAACAGTAGGATCCTGGTTATAAGGGCCCCAAAATAAGGTACCTCTAGTTTTCGGAAGCTCCCATGTGTTGCAGCATGCACATTACTAATAGTTTACCGCTGAAAGCCATGCTAGTGAAAGTAGTAAAAGCTATCGGATTCACCAGATATTCGAGCATATGCACAAGCTATAGGAGACTGATACTTCAGCTGGGCAACAATCGCAGGAACATATAACCATAGCAGTATCATTTACAATAGGGCTGCTTGAGATAATGATACAAGTAGTGAAAGGAGGAGGAGCAGGCCGAGGAGGAGGAGGAGGAGGAGGAGCAGAAACACACAAAACAAAAAGAGGATTGCCAATGTCGTGGCATGTGGCCAGCTCATGATGCTCGAAAAATCCCACCCGTTGGAGCTGCCACCTGCAACAGTGCGAGACTGTGGTTCGAGGGCGTTGCCTTGCCTTCTCATGTCTACATACGCACTCACAGAAGTGTTGAAGTGCAGACTTTGGTTGTTTTTTGTCTCTCTCTCCGTCTGAATGTCTCGTTCGCTCTGTCTCTGTCTCTGCTTCCGTCTCTGTCGCTGTCTCTGTCTCTCTCTTTCTCTCCTCTCTCGCTGTCTTCATCGCCTTCTCTATTGCTCGTCCTCCGTGTCTCCGCACATTCGAGTGTCATGCTTGACCATGAAGGTTCTTTGGAGGCAACAGACGACATTGGCTGCTCGACTTGCATCTTGAATAACTACATAAGCCAAGCTTGGAAGGCCAACACGAGACAGTATCCTTCGTTTTGAACCGCAGTGAAACAGACATGCTGCATGCTTACTCGGCAAATTCCGACACGAGATGTCATTTCATTCCGGGCTTCTTCGCTATTCCGCTATTTCATATCTTGCATACTGGGCACTCCAAGTGCATAGTATCTTCCATGACAAGTTACACTGCTTAACAATAGCTACCGTTCCCGGCTATCGCAGTCCTTGCTCTGCAGACTGTCTCCATAGAAACGGCACTGGTCTTGTCATTTCCTACCAGTCCTCGCCGACATCTATTACTAGCTGCAGTACACCTTCCTCTGCTCTTGTCTCCTTCAAGTTGTCCTATCCGTGTGAAAGCCCAGAATACCCCAAAACCCCGACCCCAACGGCTCACACCAGCCACGAGCCGGCGCACCTCCTTCTGCTTGCGCAGCTTTGGGCGGCGGCGGCGTTCTGGGTGCGATCAAGCTGAAGCTTCTACTAGGTTTTTCTAGAAAAACCCTAGTGAACACCTAGCTTTATCTAGAAAAACCTAGTATAGTCAAGGAAACTGAGGCTGGACTTACCTATAGGCCCCATAGTAGTTCCTCTTTGGGATTAACTTATAGAATTCTAAACATGAAACCCCCAAAAAGGAACTAGTATGGGGCCTATGGGTAAGCAGCAAAAGGAAAGCTAAGAGCTACCGGGCCCCATCCTTCATAGGGGAAAAGGAGGGACCCTTAATGGGGAGGCCTACCCTAGAATGGGCTGTAAAATGGGTATATAATAGCTATATGAAGGGTATATACCTAGGGGTCCTTGTTAAGGGTCCCTCCTTTTCACTTTTGAATCCTCTAAGAAGCCCCAGAACGCCGAAGAGGTTTTGCACCCGAAACCCCCATGGCCGAAAGCTTGCAAAGGCCCAAACACCTGCGACCCCAAACTCCTTCAACACTTGCTTCGGTTTAGGGTTTAGGGTTTCGGGTGACAGACCCTGCTGCCACTTTTAAGTCGTAGTCACACCATCGCAACTCTTGTAGTGTTACTTGCAGTATCGGAGCATTATATCATTACTACTCGTGCTCTAGTACTACAGGCTTAACATATACATGTAGTATCCAATATCGTGCTATGGTTTTATAGCAAATGCAGTACTATAGTAAGCTCCTAGTACTCTAGTACTCTACCATGTTAGTATATGGTGGTTCAGGGCTGCAGCATGTATTGATATAAATCCTGCATGACCCATAAAAGGAATAAGCCATAATTCCCATACTTTAGGGTCCTTAAGGTCATACAGGAAATATATCATCAACCGTAGTGTAGTATAGTATAGTAAAGCATAGTATAGTATCATAGCACCCCCAGTAAGCCCTTTGAAAAGTCCACCTGCCTCAGAGTCAAGTCAAAGACCTCGACACCACGCCTCAGCTGCTTTGCAGGGCCGTAAACTCTGCTATGGAGGCCTAAATTTAGGGTTTAGGGTTGAGGGTTTGGGGGCCTAAATAAATAATTATCGATACTATTTTTGGGGGGGTCCTTGTTACAATTCTAGTATGATGCGCCCCAAAACCGTATGATAAATTATCATTGAGGGTCCGATATTATACAATCCCTGGGCTCTAACCCCAAGGGCCTTTCATGAATCAGAGGGTTGCCGGTTTCGGTTTGTGTGGTTTTTGTTGGGGGTTTAGGGGAGAGGTCACGTGAAGCTCCTCAAAGTCAAGCCCAGCCTAACCATTGAAAGGCCTCAACCCTAGACCTGAACCCTAGACCCTGACCCCTAAACCCTGAACCCTAAACCCTAAACCCCTGAACCCTAAACCCTAAATCCCTAAACCCCCTAAGAGCCGAAACCGCTCAACCCTAAACCCCTATATCCCTGAAGCCCTATAACCCCCCAAACCCGAAACCCTATACCCAAAAGGCTGAGGGTTTTGGGGCCCAGAATACTATACTTATAACAAGGAACCCCAACACAGATAAACTGGCTAAACCCTGAACTATAGATCCCTTAAGGCACCCTCACAAATCCCTCTAAGGAGCCGCCCCCCCCCCCCCCCCAAAACCCATGAACCCCCAAAATGGCCGAGGCACATATCTTTGAAGCGGATGGCGATCTGGGACTTGGCCTTGTCACCTCCTCCTGCGTGCCACTGCGGATTCGGGTGGAATCCAGGGGTTTTAGGGGCTTTAGGGGTTTTAAGGGGCTTTAGGGTTAGGGGCTTCAGGGTTTAGGGTTTGGGGCTTAGGTTAAGGTTTAGGGTGTAGCGTTTTGGGTTTTGGGTTTTGAAATCCAGGGTTTAGGGCAAGTTTTGGGCTCAAGGTTGAGGAATTAGCGTTAGGATCTTGGGTGTGGGGTTTTGGGTTTAAAGTTTAAGATTTACGGTTTAAGGTTTTGGGTTTAAAGTTTAAGATTTACGGTTTTAGATTTGGGGTTTAAGGTTTAAGGCTTACCTACTTCGACTGTGGCTCTCCGGGAAAAGTCCACCTTTGAAAGATCAGGACCTGAGGAGCAATGCTCCGAAATGGTTAATTAGGAAACCCCTAAACCCCTACACGGTTTAGGGTTTAGGGTTTAGGAAACCGTTATTTCTAAACCCTAAACCCCTAAACCCTAAACCCCTAAACTCTTGAAGCCCATGTTCCAGCCGCTGGATACAGGAGCTCGCCTTCCGTGGAGTCTGTGCGCGGTGCAACTTGCGCAGAAGAGAGTTGAGTAGACCCAATTCACTCAACTCCCAACCCGCCCTAAACCTCAAACCCTGATTCACCAACCCCAGAACACACTTTAGGGACCTGGTTAAGAAACCCTGGCCCTATAACCCCAAAATAGCAGGATTCATATAAGGAACCCTAAAAACAACTCAGGGTTTCTTAATCAGGTTCCAATATTAAATCCCCTTATGAAGGAAACATCCACCCCGAGAGCCCAATACCCCTTAATTAAGGAATATAGCTTAAATCATAATATGAAGCCCTACATAATCTAAGCCATATTCCTTAATACCCTTATAGAACCCCTGTAGATCTCTTTAAGGAGCCCTTTAAGGAACCCTAGGTATTCCTTAATTCAGGGGCCCCTTGGGCTCTCTGGGCAAGGTTCAGCACCGCTCCTCCCTGTGCACCGGCGCCGGCCGTCGGCTGGCCCAGCAGGGCTAAGTTCTCCGGCTGCTTGGGCTTGAAGGAGGCCTCAGGGCTGCTAAAGCTAGGATACCCAGTAACCTATATAAGAATAAAAAGGCCTCTCTTTTTGGTATTGGATAACTTTATAAGGAACCTAGGACTACAAAAAGGGAATAAGGGTACTACTGGGCATCCTAGTAAGTTTAGGGTGTTTAGGTTTAGGGTTCGAGGTTGAGGGTTCAGGGTTTGAGGCAAAAAGCCTGCGGGTTGCGTAGGTGTGGGGTGTTTAGGGCTTACGTTTAGGGTTTGAGGTTGAGGGTTTAGGGTTTGGTCCTAAGTACTAATTACACAGTACAAGGTACAGTAGGGTTTCTATTTTAGGAAGCCGAGAGTTCCGTGGGCACCCACCCAAGACAAGAACAGCAAAAACACCACCTCCTAAACCTTTAACCGAACCACCCTCCGCCCCCTCGAAAAGACATGGATGGATGGAGGGAAGAAAGGATGGATGGATGGGATGATCGACCGATAGATAGCCGGACAAGCAGACAGAGAGACCGACCGACCGACCGACCGGCAGGCACGCAGGCAGGCAGGCAGAGAGAGAGAGAGAGAGAGAGATAGACAGGTAGATAGATAGATAGATAGCTGGAGAGATAGGCTGATTGAAGTTTGACTGATTGATTGGTTGATCGATCGATCGATCGATCGATTGGTTGATTGATTGATTGATTGATTGATTGATTCATTGGCTCATACGTGTGTATGTGCACATATCTGTGTGTTTACTTGTTTAGATGTAGGCATCCATATATATATATATATATATATACACACATACAGAGACATATGTCCACACATGCATACAGAGAGACAGACGTGCATACATAAACACATACTTACTTGGAGGGTCGGGGGACTTAGTAAGTAGGTAGTAAGTAGACTTCTAAGTACCCTAACAGGGAGCCTAATTGGGGTTATGGTACTTATACGTCCCAAAAATAACTACTTACTAAGTCCCCCGACCCTCCAAGTACATTCAGCACCGAACTGCCCAGGTAGCCCAAGAGGGACCTGAAGGGTGATGGCTCGCGACGGCGACGAGCCGTAGCCGTTTTCCATGGCGGCCTCGGTCTCTTCTTAGGGTTTAGGGTTTAGGGTTTAGGGTTTAGTACTGGGGCCGAGGAACCTTTCCACCGAAGGTGGTATTGGGATTTTGGTGCAGAGAACTTCAGGGCGTTCAAGGTGTCTACAATGATCCCCAGAAAGTTGAAACAAGGCTTAAGGAGGATTCGTGCAGGGATTCCCTATACTTTGCCGTAAGGGCATGAGGATAATGATGTTCCAACTTTCTGGATTCTACTATAGTGAGTTCTGGAGTTCTGGAGTTAGGGTGGTCGGGCCCAGAAGGGCGTTTCAATTTTGTCTCATGGCCCGGTCGTGGCTTCGTTTCCTTGTACATGGATGTACATAGCCCGAGAGCCACAAATTTCAGCATTCGACAACATGAGTGGCAAGCCTTTGTTGAGTGCTTGAGCGCCTCGGCTTGGCTATGTCCATTGGCAGCCGAGTTCTAGCGGTCTGTTGCAAGGTTGCATCCAAGAAGGAATTGCTCAATTGTGGCTTCTCCCTGATGGGGCACAAAGGTGCTGTCTGCTCGTACTTGCGTCTGGACACTGCAAACAGAAGCAGCGCTGGTCCCACGCAAGCTTGTGGTGAGCAATTACTGCCCATCCTGGAGCCTTACCTATAGTCTCCATTGTAGTTCCTTTTTTTGGTTTAACCAATTATATATTAAGGATCCTATAAGGTAACCCCAAAAAGGAACTACAATGGAGACTATAGGTATGAATGGTTCAAGCTAACCGCTGGTCTGGGCTGATGGCCAGTGCAGAAGACATAAATATCAAGCCTTAACTTAACCCTCACACCCTGCAAAAAAAGGCCACGACAAGTTGCCCCAAACATCCTGAACCCCGATTCCTGTGCCCAACAAGGTCGGCACCACATTGAAGAAGAAGATCTCCCTGACATACTCGTCCTGGAGAGTCGTAGAATACTTAGAGTTGGGCTTTGGTGGCATCAAACTACATCTCTGCTGAGGAACCATAAGGGTCTTAGTACAAGCTATCCATCTGCGGGGATACGTTTAACTTAAGGTTTAGGATTTTGTCGTTTGCGTTTGGGTGGGATGTCTGGGATGCAATTGGGGCCGAGATTAGGGCTGTGCGGTTCAAAAAACTTAAGGGGTGTAGGGATTAACTCATGTAAGAGCCTTAACAATTAGAATAGGGTTTTGGGGCCCATTATTATATAATCATAATAAGGCACCCCAAAATAGTATTGCTAATTATTCAGGCCCATATAATGCAAGCGAAGCAACTACAGACATTTGGTTACATGCCTGTTGACGGATGGCCATTCCCGTGGTCCTGTCATAGCACTTGTGGCGGTAACGGTGATGACGCTGACGATGATGACGACGAAGATGTCGATGACGATGACTACGAAGAAGCAACGACGGCGAAGACTCGACCACGGCGACGACGACGAAGACAGGGAGGATGAGAAAAAGAATTACATGATGATGATGGTGGTGATCATGCTCCTGGATCAAAGCCTCGTGTGAAAGCACATAAGACATAAGACGTTTTGGATTTCATGCACTTCGCGGCTTTAGGGTCTGGAGGTTGGTGGCATTGTAGTCATTGAAATGTGGAGGATGGTTGCAAGTCCTTCTTCTCCATGTCATCCGGCGGGGTCGGTAAGGCCATAACGTGACCTGTGTGGCCCGAGGGCGACAGTGCAGTTTCACATCAGGGGTAGAACCAACTCCAGGCAGGCGGATTAGTGTGTTTTTTTCTTAATCGTTGTACTCACCGTCGGTACTACCACGAATAGAGTGACATGTATGAACATGTTTGTGAGCATATTGACATGTCTGTCTGTCCGTCCGTCCGTGGGCCTGTCCGGTCTGTGGTTGCATGTGCCTGCGCGTGCATGCACATACACATGTGGATCTGCATATGCATATGCATATTGCTACAACTGTGTCTATGGCTTCGTCTATGTGCCATACCAATGTCTACATGCGTGTCTATGTCTGTGCCACATGCACATGTACAAGTACATTTACATGTATAATCTGTATGTATGCGAGTATATCTATGTATGCCAATCTGTATATGTATGTATGCAAGTGTGTATGTATATACATATCTATATATATATATATATATTAAACAAAAAATTCCTTGTACATGCGAACTGAGATCTAAAGGTGTACACACACACACAATCAACCTTTAAGCACCCTTATCCTTAGTCTCCAAACCCTTCAACCTTCATACCCCGAAATCCGAAGTCGTCTAATTTTGAGCCAAGAGACCGTAAACCCTAAACCCTAAACCCTAAACCCAACAGACCCCAAGCGGTAAAGCCCGAAGTCCGAAAGCCCTAGAGTCCCTACTACCTACCCACAGGCCCCATACGGTTGATGATATAAATCCCAAGGGTTCCTTTTAAAGGGATCTATAAGGGTACCTCTAAGGGGCTCCTTTAAGGGATCTATAGGGATTTAGGGTTTAGGGGTTGATGATGTGAATCCTGCATTACCTCAAGGACCCGAAAGTATGGGAATTATGTTATATTCCCTATGATGGGTAATGCAGGATTTATACCATCAACCGTAGTAGTTCCTTTTTGGGGTTCATATGGGAAGGGGTACCTTATTTGGGGTCCTTATAATCAGGATCCTACTACTTTGAATACCATATTGGGCTCTCTTATTTTCGGAAACTCCCATAGAACTACAATGGGGCCTATGGGTAGAGCATACACCTCAAACAATGCGCCGTAAACCCTAAACCATGCGCTTCGTTCGCCTCGGAAGCTGTGGAGTTTAAACGGCAGCACTGAGACGTGCGGAAACTTCAGCGCCAGGTCGCATGCCTTGCCCGTTGACAAGGTATCCAGAGAGCCCAATACCCCTTTAAGGAGTATAGCTTAAATCATAATATGAAGTCCTATATATTTTAAGCCATATTCCTTCATTAATTGGTATTGGGCTCTCTGGGTAGGGTAAGGGTTTCTCAAACGCATCCCTAAGCCCTGCGCACTAAACCCAAGACCCTAAACCCTAAACCCTCAACCCTAAACCCTAAACCCTAAACCCAAAACCCTAAACCCAAAACCCTCAACCCTTACTTACGAACAACCAGAACGGTTCAGGGGGCTTTGGCCCCCTCGGAACCCAAGGTCTGACACTATGCTGCGCAACAAGGATGTTAGGGCCTTCATCTGAAAGGGGCCTTAATAACTAGAATAGGGCCTTGGAGTCTTGGGGGTATACTATACTGTAATTATGAAAAGGAACACCCAACAGAGTATAGGTAATTATCAAGGATCTTACTGAAGCTTTTAGGTTCCCTAGCAGTTCTGCGAATTGCTCACATGATAGACGTAGGCCAATGTGCTTGAAAAAGGGGAGCGACACGAAAACCATTGGTGTTACGCGCAGGATCCCTGTCCTGTAATTCACTCAGCTTTGGTTTCTCAAGGTAAAGCACTTACAACAACCTCGCAGAGTGATGTGCATTCTCAAGGTCCTGAAAACCAACGAAAAAAGAAACACCACTCTGCGACATCCTGGAAGTATGCCCTGCCTTTCTACAGCTCCCGACTCCCGATCCCCCAAGCCCAAAACGAAAAGTATACAACCCGTATAAAAGAATATAAAGCCTTCTTTGACACCCCGAAAAAGAATCCCAACACCCTTGAAACCCATTTCGAAGCCTTGAAGCCCCAGAGCCGCAAATAGAATCCAGAACAGAAGCAAACAGGGCCTTGCTCTTGCCCCGGGTGGTGGCGTACACGAGCACATCCCCATCCTTGCCATGGCAAAGGCATAGGCGCAGACATTGGGCTCAGGATCTAGCGCTAAGAGCGAGAGGGAGAGAGAAGGGCACATGCAAACATAGATCGCAACATGTTGCATGTAGGTCTACGTGCACCTGTTCGTCTACGTACAGATCCTTCGGGTTGAGCTAGGGTTCAGGGTTTACAGATCAGAAACTCCGGGTTGGGGATATAGGGGACAACGGAGCTTCAACTGAAAGATGCAGGACTAGGATACCCAGTAACCTAAGCATAAAAAGGCCTCTCTTTTTGGTATTGGGTAACTTTATAAGGAACCTAGGACTACAAAAAGGGAATAAGGGTACTACTGGGCATCCTAGAGGAACACATCCTCGCAACCCCAGTAGCAAAAGGCCACCCTAGGCCGAGGCGCTAAACCCAAAACAAAACCCTCGTAACAAAAACCCTGCATCCTAAACCCTAGATCCTAAACCCTAAACCCTAAATCCTAAACCCCAAACCCTAAATCCTAAATCCTAAACCCCAAACCCTAAACCCTAAATCCTAAACCCTAAACCTGAAACCCCAAATCAAAACCCTGAAGCCTAAACCCTAAACCACCACCCTTTAGCGATCCCATCCTGGCCCAACCAACGAAGCCTCAAACCTAAAGCCCCCCACACAAACTCGGTAGTGGTAGAATCCTGCTGAACCCCGAAACCCTAAACCCTCAACCCTCAAGCCTTAACCCTATAAACCCCTAAACCCAAACCTATACCCTAAACCCTAAACCCTAAACCCTAAACCCTAAACCCAAACCTAAACCCTAAACCCTAAAATCCTAAACCCATAAACCCGAAACCCTAAAACCTTAAAACCCCCACCTTCAAACCCCAAATTCCTTACCTTTGGTTAGTAGGGAGTGTTAGTAGGGAATGGAAGAATGGGGTACAATTATAACTACTGTTACTACCATTCTTCCATTCCCTACTAACCAAAGGTAAGATTCGGGACCCTGAAACCCACCCAGGGCCCTCCTGCAGGGCCAGGAGCACCCGGCCAGTCCTTAGTCGGGTCTTCCCTACCTGGACCCTAAGGAACCTACCCTTTTTAGGGACTTATATAAAGAAATCATATTAGGGGGGCCCTAAAAAGGTAGGTTCCTTCGGGTCCAGGTAGAGGCTCCAAATATAGTACCATTCTGGAATTAGGTCCCCAAAACCATGAAAGGTATGGTCTTTTGGGACCTAATTCCCTGATGGTACTATATTTGGAGCCTCTGGGTTCAGGTTTATTTTTAGGGGCTTTAGGGTTTTGGGGTTTAGGATTTAAGGGTTTAGGGTTTAAGGGTTTAGGGGGTTTGGGGTTTCGGGTTTAAGGTTTAAGGTTTAGGGTCCTGGGGCTTACCAGCACCCCCCAAGTACCCTTTAAGAGAGCATTTAGGGTTTAGCGTTTAGGGTTTAGGGTCCTCAGACGGATCTTGGACTTACCAGCAGGCCTCCAAATACCTTTTAATAGGGCCCTTATGCTCCTTGACAGTGGGTATTTAGGGTAGAACAGAGTAGAGGGTAGTTTGGGGGCGCTGGTAAGGATTGCAGGTTTGGCTTCTTTTGGAGAGCATCTTTCCACAGCAGAATCTGTAGAGCCTGGTTTGGGCTTAGGGAGTTAAGGGCTTGGGGTTTGTGGGGCTTCGGGCTTACTTCAGGGGCTTGGGCTCTACGGCCGGGCATGAAGTTTCGGGGAAAAGCGGTTTGGGTAATAGTAATGTAGGAACATGATTAAGAAACCTTGGGCCTTGATTATGGTTCCTGATATATGAATCCTACTGTTTTGGGGGGTTATAGGCCCAGGGTTTCTTAATCAGGTTCCTACATTATGAGTTCTGGATCGTTAGGGTCTGAACTTAGAGTTCCGACTTTTAGGGTGTCGGGGGCTAGGGTCGAGGAAGCGTTTTTAGGTTATTAGGGTTTCGGGTTTAGGGTGATTCTTCGACCCTCCGAGATTCCCGTTCAGATCCTGATAAGGGGACGGGCGCTTATGAACTAACCAGGGGTCTACATGAATCTCCTTTTTTTCGCCTACCACTAAAGGATCTTCTCAGCATGGTCAGACGGCCAACTCAAGATCAGTATCACGAGCCCAGTGCGTAGTGCAGAGATGGCCTCTGATTCAAATCTGCTGTTGACTATCCAAGTGTTCCTCCTTGAAGGCACAATGTGCCTAGTGCCTGGTCAAACACCACTACCAAAGTAGTTCGAGTACTCATACTGCAGTACTTATAGTTGCTGCGTTTGAATTTGCCACCCTTCCGTCTATTGACACAGCTTCCTCGTAGCCACACATCGAACCCCCTTAGAGGAACCTGAAAAGGAACCCATACAGGGAACCCTGATAGGAAACCCCAAACCCTAAACCCTAACCCCTCAACCCTAATCCCCTTAGAGGAACCCGTTTAAGAACCCATAATTATGGGAACCCTTAAAGAAACCTTTCGACGAACCAAGAGCCGGGCGAGTATCCCGGCTCCATGGCCAGATCCACGAGCGGCGAGTTCCAGCCCGTGCAAGGCGCGTACCTCCAAACTGAGCAGGTTTTACGGTTGAAGAAGGTTCATGCGGTTTGTAAGGTTTTACGGCTAAACAGGGTTTATAGGATTTTGGAAGTTTTCGGGCTGTATATGGTTTGTAGATAGGATTTTGAAGGTTTTTACGGCTCGGAGGGTCTTTGGGGCTTTTAGGGTTTGGGGACCTAAAAGTTTAAGGTCTACGGGTTTTTTACTTTACAGTGCTTGGGGTTTAGACGTTGAGGGGTTTCGGGGTTTAGACGGTTTAGGGTTTGGGGTTTAGGGTTTAGGCTTAGGGTTTAGGGTTTTTTGGGGGGTCAGGGTTTATCGCCTGCAGGGCTTGGCAAGTCCAAGGCTCAGCCCTCGTTCCTACAGCCTGGGTGGAAAGCCGTAACTATCGTTAAGTGTCGAACAGGGATGCTCCAAGTTTGAAGCCCTTGAGCATAAACCCTAAACCAAACAAATCCTAGAAAGCTATAGGTTTCCAACAGGAAACCCGAGACCCGGATGCTTCGAGTGGCGCACTGTAGGTCGACCTGGCTCGGAGAGAAAAAGCCGAAAGCGTGGGAGCTGTAGAACAGCACTTGCTGCTGACCCTGCGCAGAGGGTTTCAGGTTTAGGGTCCAGGGTCTATAGGGCTTTAAGGGTTTATGGGGTTTACTTGGAGGGTCGAGGGACTTAGTAAGTAGTTACATTAGGGACTTATAAGTACCATAACCCCAATTAGGGTCCCTTTTAGGGTACTTATAAGTCTAGTGAGTCTAGTTACTACCTACTTACTAAGTCCCCCGACCCTCCAAGTACCAACCCCAAGCTCCGAAACCGAGCCTCAAACTCGACAAAAGCCCTGGACGCTAACCCCAAAACACGATCCACTATCCCCCAGGCCCCCTACCGTCCTTCACTATACAAGACCTACGCTTTCATGGTTCCCTAGTATGGTGGTCTTAGAAGACAATTCCTTGAAGCGGTGGGTTTCGAGCGGTTCAAGTAAGATCCTAAACCCCGACACCTCACTCCGAAACCCTAACCTTCAAAGACGGATCCTCGGCCCAAGCCCAGGTGTTAAACCCTAAACCGCAAAGGCCCGGAACCCCAAAAGCACAATGCAAAGCAACCCCAATACAGGGGTCTTGATAATTAGGATAGGGTTTTGAGGCCCATTATACTAGAAGTGTAAATGGTATTGGTAATTCTTTAAGCCCCTACATTAAAACCCTAAGGAATAATATAGTCATAAATACTGGCAATTTTCCAGGCCCCTCTGTTTCCCCGGAGAGCAGGCCTGCCCTCGCACGAGGCCCTTGACACCGCCCGGATCTTCGGTGACGCGCACGCGGCCGCGCATGGTGCCTGCGGGACTGTCACTCACAGCGTCCCGGGCTTGGGGGGTTTTGTAGTCGACTTCTTTAGTGGGTGCTCCCAAGCTAAAGCTCAAACCAGCTGGAGCTCCGGGGGACGAGAGAGGAAGTTTCGGGTGTAGGGTACAGGGTTCAAGATTAAGTTCGGGATTCATGGTTTAGTGTTTTTTTGACATCAAAGGATTTAGGGTTTAGCACTTACACATTTCCAAGCCAAACAAAAGAGCCCCTAGCTTCACGGCCTCACGCAGCACCAGAACGTTAACAACCGCAGCTGTTCAGGGTCTAGGGTGCCCGGGCTCCTGACAAGCAACCCAGAACCTGAAGACCTACAGTAGAAGCCCAAAAGTTGGAAACCCAATAGCCTCAATCCTCAAGAGTCATGTATGGGGACTTCCCAGCACTATATGGCCTTAATCCGGTTTTCAACTTTATGGGGCTTACTATAGGAACCACAAAGAAGCCAAACTGCTGAAACGCACCCATGGCCAAAGACTTTGGGGTTTAGGCTTCAACTGCTGGGCTCCCCGGCCATTCCGGAAGAAGACAGACAGTCCACCCAAGGAATCTCCAGCCACAAAGAAAGTCTGAGAGCCCCGCCTCAGTCTCATTCGGAGTTTGGGGTCTTTTGAAACTTCCGGGAAGAGTGGGCTTTCGAAACTTCAGGCGTGAGGCTTGAGATGTCTCAGGGCTTCGGGTTAATAGTGAACCCCGGAAAGTTGGAACATGGAGATAGGACGATTGGTACGATGAGTGCTGGCATTTCCTATGCTTTACCTTAAGGGTATGGGGATGACTTCTACTGCAACAAAAAAAAGAGGGTTTAGCTTCAAGGCTGAAGCGTTTTCTCAGCTCGCTTTGAGGAATCGGGCTGATACTTTGGACATATGGGGCGGAGGGGCTCCAACAGCAGTTATGATGAAACCTCAGCTCAAAGAGCGAGAGAGAGGCCGGAAACGGTTCGGGGGTTTAGGGAAAGTTTAGGGTTCAGGGGTTTAGGTAGGGGCCAGCTCGTCAAAATCCTCCTCGCTTATGCCCGCGAGAGGTTCGGGGCTTGCAGCATCAGAAAGTCATCGGTTGAAAAGGCCAATAAGGAGCACAGACGGACAAAGACCCTGGTTTAGAAAGCAACCAGACAAGCCCGGAAAAATTGAAACATAAGACACCGAGAACGCTACAAGTCGAATCCCGTGCGCCCAAGCAGCCATCAACACCAAACCCTTACGAAGCCCTAAACCAACAAAAAAAGCCCTGAAGTCTCGCCACCCTAAACCCGCCATCACACTGAACTCTAGACCCGAAACCCTGAACGCTAAACCCCGAAAAGGGAGATTCCAAGCTTCAACGACCCCGGAGGACATTGCCGGTGCAGACCAAAGCGCTCGATTGGGAGGACGACGGTTAGCTTCCGGGCCTGCGCAGTCTCTCGTCATGATGATGAGGGCTCACAGTCTGTTTCCCGAAGCAGTGACGAGCAAGCTCAGACTCGAGTTGATGTGAAATCTGAAAAGGGAAGAAAGGTTTGCTGGCGGCTCCAGTGCAGCAGATCGTAACAGTATGGCTGTTCTACGATGGACGTACGAGAAGCAGCAGGAGCAGCAGCAGGAGCAGCAGCAGTAGCGGCAGCAGGAGCAGCAGCAGGAGCAGCAGCAGCGGGAGCAGGAGCAGGAGCAGGAGTATGAGCAGGAGCAGTAGCAGGAGCACGAGCAGGCGCAGGAGTAGGAGTAGGAGTACTAATTACTAGCAGCAGCAGCAGCAGCAGCAGGAGGAGGAGGAGGAGGAGGAGGAGTAGCAGTAGCAGTAGCAGTAGCAGTAGAGTAGTAGGAGTGGTAGTAGATAGTAGTTAGTAGTAAGCAGTTGCCAGAGCGATAGTAAGGATGGGCTTGTTCCGTCTCTGCTACCAGTCTTACCACCATAATCACATAAGCGATAAAATACCCTAGAACACGTAAAAACTCCAAAAACTCAACAAAACCCCAACCCCTCAAAGCACCTAAAACCCTACAAGCCCCAAACACCCTCAGACGCAAAACATCAAAAACAAACTATGACCCCAAAAAATCCCTTCAACAACGCTGAACAACCGTATAAACCCCGTGAACCCTACCCATAGGCTCCATAGTAGTTTCCTTTATGGGGTTACCTTATAGGATTCCAAATATGAACCACACAAAGGAACTACTATGGAGCCCACGGGTATGCTATAGTCATCACTAGTGACAGCCAGCACCATCTGCCTCCTCCAGCGCCCCTGGTGACAGCGTGAAGCTCGAGGCCAGACCTTTAGACTTCAGGCTTAGTATATATATATATATATATATATGTATATATATATATATATAAATAATACATACATAAATACATGTGTATATATATATACATATATCATAGGGACCCTTTGACGGCTTGGGGTTTAGGGCTTAGAGGGCTTTTTTCTGAGGAGCTGGGTATTGTGCGCAAGACAAGTTAACCTTTAAATTACAGTAGCGTTATAGAAGCCCCATATGGTTCAAGGTTAGCCACTTATCCCCCAAGCATTGCAGTGTGTCTTCTAGCATGTTATAGCATGCTATAACACTCTGTAGCATTGCATGTAGTATTTTGTGGCATTACATGCAGTATGGCATGGTGAAAAAAGCTTCCTGTACACGTATAGATAGACAGATAGATAGGTAGGTAGGTAGGCAGGTAAATAGATAGGCAGATATGTAGACAGATAGACAGATGATGTGTGTATGTATCTGGCTGTATACATACATATTGTATAAGTATATATATATATATATACATATGTATATATGTGTGTATATATATATATATATGGGTACCCCCCTATATGGGGTCCCCTGGGTTTTTGCACACCCAAACCACTAAACCATTAAACCATTAAACCATTCCTTTTGCTCCATACCACTAAACCAATAAACCATTAAACCATTAAACCAATCCTTTCCCCCAATGGACCCAAACCAATAAACCATTAAACCATTAAACCAATCATTTCCCCCAATGGACCCAAACCAATAAACCATTAAACCATTAAACCAATCATTTCCCCCAATGGACCCAAACCAATAAACCATTAAACCATTAAACCAATCATTTTCCCCTATAGAGAGAGACACATCCCTGTATGGGCCGAAAGCATTGGTTTAATGGTTTAATGGTTTAATGGTTTAATGGTTTAGTGGTTTAGTGGTCTAGTGGTATGGAGCAAACGGATTGGTTTAATGGTTTAATGGTTTAGGTTTAGTGGTTTAGTGGTATGGGGTAAGGGGATTGGTTTAATGGTTTAATGGTTTAGTGGTATGGGGCAAAAGGATTGGTTTAATGGTTTAATGGTTTATTGGTTTGGGTCCATTGGGGCAAAGGATTTGTTTAACGGTGTACTAATTTAACGGTTTGTTAATGGTTTAATGGTTTACGTAGTGATGGGTCTAGGGCTGCCTACTACGCAGGTGTCCTGGTTATAACCGGGGACAGAGGTTATAACCAGGCCTGTGCCACCGCTACAGTACTTCATCAACACCTAAATCCAAACGTTCGAAAGTGTCGGTGTTTCAGGGTGAATGTAACCGCAATGAAATTAAACAAGGACTAGAAGAATAGAGGGTCCGAGGTAATTGGCGTGTATGCGGTTGTTGAGGCATGATGCAGTGCTTTGTAACAAACATAATTCCGGGGACCATATGCGCATTCCCCAACTTTAGCGGAAAGGCTTTTTGGCGACTTTACACAATGGTCTGTCCGTTCCAGTACATCGGGTTTATGAGACCTATGTACACATTGAGAGAATAGCCGCTAACATGTCACTCACGCAGGAATCAAAATGCGGAATATGAAGGGGCTCTATCGGGATTACAGTAGGTCAGTAAGTGTTGTCAACATTGGAATATCACGGTACATAGAAAGTTGAGATACGGCTGATACGACGTCATTGTAGGGAGAGAGAGCATTTCAATTTTTACAGCGTGGTCAGGTTTCATCACTTCGTACATAGGTGAACTGGTTGCAACGTTATGTTCAAACATCGTTCCAAGGAAGCCGGATTTCGACGAGACAAAACTGATAAGAATATGTGTGGTGAGCGAAACAAAATTCGCGACTTAAACTGTTAGGTTTCCTCGCTCGGTACGTAGAAAATTCCTCGCAATGCTATTTCCAACTACATGGATGAACCTCTTTCGAGGAGTGATTCGGTGTGTGTGTGTGTACCACTTTTTCTAACACGAGGATCACGTTCTGGACTGGGAACAATGGCTTCTATTCGACTTTCAGTAAATATTCACAAGAACACAAACAGAAATTCGGACAAGCTAGATGTAGCCTTATGGTTTTCAGTCGGCTTTACGTGATGGTTAAGGTATGCTGATACAAGAAGCACAGGCTACATCACTCGGCATATAGAAACAGTGCCAAGCCTAAGAAGCGACGCTTCATGTCGTCCCCTAGGAAAAACACTATACAACGTTTGCTAAGCTTGTAGTATGCAAGTTTCCAATTTTGGCTTGGGGCAGCCGTCATACAGAATTAAGGAATGCACCACTCAAATATACCTACCGGATATACCAGTGTTTAAAAGCACTCACATGGGGGCACAGGGATATGTCATTGAAAGCTATCAGTTTGCCAAAACGTCATAGCAATGCGTCCAACAACAGACACTTTCGTGGGATTGCGGCATTACAGTACAAAGATGGAAAACGTTTCGTTGCAAAATCTAGTTCGCGATAAGGAATGACTGAACCAGACTAATGACTACAGCGCGCTTGTTGGAAAAACCTGAATTACAGCGGTTTAGATACAGTCACACAAACATGAACTACGAAGCTACATCGACGGCTTCAAAGCAAGGATTTTAGCACATTGTAACAGGTTTTCGACGAAGGTGTCATAGAATTCTTAGCGTTGTGCGGGTTTCAGCATTCTGAAGACATGGTCTTCAAACCGGATATGATACTGTAGTCGATGACGTACACCTGATTATAACCTAGTCGGCTGTAATGTATACCTGATTATAAATTATTCGAATGGTTATAACCTAGTCGGCTGTTTATAACCTAATCGGCTGGTTATAACCTAGTCTGGTGGTTATAGCTCAGTCAGATGATGTAGCGAAAAACGTAGGGGACCCCAAATAGGGGTGCGCCCATATATATACATATACATATATACATATGGCACATCTTTATGTGTATCTGTATATATATATATATATATATATATATATATATATATGTACATATATCTATACACACACATATGTTGCATTGTAACACTCAGTATTCCATGGTATGTGATAGAAAATTTCAGTATGGCATACTACAGTATATAGTATGTACTATCGGTTACTGTCGTAGATTCTAATACAGTATATTATATTCCCACACACCACACATTTTTGCATAAGGATGTCGAGTTTGGGTGTCTCTAAGACATTCGAGCGATTTCTCTGGACGCTTGATAATAGCAACGACGATTGAACATAACGAGCAGAAGCGCGGAGCGGGGGTGGCTTCGGATACGACTCCGAAGCCGTTAGACAAGGCTCTGCCACGGAGCTTGTCACAAGATGGAAGTCAGCCAAGAGCAGCAAAAGCAAATGATGCTCTTCGGCTCGCCTTTTGCAACACTCCGCCTGGAACTTGTGCAATATGGGTGCCTTTAGAATTAGAACAGGGTTTCGAGGTATGGGAGTTTCCGAAAATGGGGGACGATAGTATAGTACCCTAAATAGTAGGATCCTTATTATAAGGACTGCAATTTAAGGTACCTCTATTTCGGAAACTCCCGTATGTCTAAACCAATGAAGCATGCCAACCTGAGCTTCACAACTCGAAAGCCCGCCCAAAGGAAGCGATCCGAGGATGCAGCTGGCTGTGACATTGAGAGTTCTAGCCTCCTGTGTCGCAGTTCTTACCTTTAGGGTTCCTTTAAAGGGATCTATAAGGGTTCCTATAAGGGACCTATAAGGTTTCTATAGGGGGGGGTTCTGCCCAGAGACTCCAAAACCCCTCAATTAAGGGATATACCTTAAACTATAATAGGAGCCCTAATTTGACTTAAGGCATATTCCTTAATTAAGGGGTTTTGGAGGCTCTGGGTGTGTCGCAGTTCTTACCTTTGGTTAGTAGGGAACGGAAGAATGGTAGTAATAGTAGCTATAATTCTACCCCATTCCTCCACTCCATACTAACCAAAGGCAAGAGTGTCGGGGGTCGTGTCAACATGGGGGGGCCACAGGTTTCGTGCTGACACGGCAGGATTCGGGCATAGAGCTTGAGGGATGATGTTGCGGCCTGGGTGACATGTAGACTTGCTTGCAGTCCATACTTGCTACAGGCTTGCTCCGGCAAGCAGAAACGGTAAGGATCAGGGAGGATTCGTCACGTGTCATTCTGTGAGAGGGAACCCACCAGAGCCTTGAAAGGACGCCCCACACCATACCGCAAACACTTGGGGTTTAGGGGTTAGGGTATAGGGTACAGGGTTAGAGTTCAGCCCCCAAGCCCGTAAGCACGAACCCTGGCGCGCAACGCCCGAACGCCCAAGATTCCCAAAACCCGGAGACAGGCAATGACGATACTAGTGCGACCACGAAGATCAAGACTAGTGGTAACGGCTATCTCTGGAGGGAATGCCAGCGTTACTGAAACTGTGGGCACGAATCTAATGCAGAGCGTCGGAACAGCCAGACTGTGAACCGTCGGCATAACACGTCCAAGCATGCTCGGCTAACAGTTCGACATGTACGACAACTTAGTACGATTGGTATCCCGTGCGCAGCGCTAGTGTCTTTAACACATAACCGCCGCAGCAAGAAGTGTCTTCGAGATGATGCATGCTCCCAAAACACTCCAGAAACACCCTTTCCAACTGCTGCTCATGGCGATGACAAGATCCTTCACCTCTGCTTCCGCTTTATCTTGCGTCTCAATATACTCCGTTCTACTGACAGATCCTCCACAAGCTGAAATGATATAGGCACCTTAGTAATTAGAATGGGGTTCGGGCGCTGGCTACACCATAATTATAATATGGAACCCCCAAAATAGTATAGGTATTTATTTTAAGCCCCTATAGTAGATCCCGCCGAACGATCGGCCCCAAGATGCCTGACGCCAAGCCCCCGAAGCCCCACCAAAGCCACAAGGTTTCAACAAGCCACAATTTTTTTCTAGAAAACACCTTTAGTATACTATAATTAAGGGCCTTCCAGAATTTTTACAGAACCTGTATGATAGTAGATATTTTTGATACCTTGTAAAACCCTGATAGAACCTAAACAGAACGTGTGTCCTAGTTTAGAACCCATATTATATAGAATCTTCATAGAACCCTCATAAAACCCTAAACCCCTAAGCTTTAGGCCCTAAACCACAAACCCCTAAACCCTAAGCCCCCAAAACCCCAAACCCGTAAACCCTAAACCCTAAAAGCCCCAAGTCTCACTCCGGGCTCCTTGGGATCCTTCCCCTTCGCCTTGGGCTCCTCCTCTGCCTCGTCTTTGTCCTTCCTTTTCGTCGGATCGCTTGGGATGGTTTAGGGCTTAGGGTTTAGGGTTTGGGATTTGGGGCTTGGGGTTTGGGTTTTAGGGTTCAGAGTTTGGGTTCTAGGGTTCCGGGTTCTGAGTTTTGGGTTTAGGGTTTAGGGCTTAAAGTTTCGGGTTTAGGGTTTTGAGTTGGGGATTTGGGTTTAAGGTTCGCGCTTTGTACCTTGGGGTTTAGTTGTTTGGGGGTTTAGGGTTGTTGTTTGGGGGTTTAGGGCTCTAAGGGCGCAGGGTGGACGCATGTAGGATTTAGGAAGATGTAGGGTTGGTGATGTTGGTGGTATCATACTTGGAGGTTCATGGGTAGTTATAGGTAGGGCGATAAGTAGGGTAACTATACTTATAACTCATATTAGGGGACTTATAACTATACTTATAACTACCCCTGAACGTACAAGTAGGGTGTAAGTGTATGAGTGTATGCTTTGCCTGGAAAGCTGCTGGGAGCTGCCGGGGGCTTCACAGCTTTGGGCTCTTGGCCCGGATAGGATCTGAGCGATCAAAACAGGAACACCCTGGCTTGGCACCTGGGACCCAGAGATCCAGATGCCCCTTAATTAAGGAATATACCTTAGATCATAATATTTAAGGCCCCTGTTACTTAAGGTATATCGGCTTAATTAGCGGGTATTGGGTTCCCTGGGGATTCTTATTCCGCCTAACCCATGAAGCTATAAAGCCTTGAAGCAGCATTTACGCTCAGGGCCGCACCCACCCTCGGCTTTCTGCTTCTTGGCGACGATCTGCGGCACGCCAGAAGTTTTCTTGTGCATTAGCATTCAGGGTTTGGGGTAGGGTTCTAGACCTGTTAGTCAAGGTGTTGGGCTTGAGGTGGGACCCAGAGATCCCAATACCCCCAACTAAGGACTATACCTAAATAACAATATTAAAGCCCCTACTATTTAAGGCATATTGCTTACTGACAGGGTACTGGGTTCTCTGCGTAGGGCTTCGGGCCTTGAGGCCTCGAGCTTTACATGCTAGCCCGCGGCGGGGCGAGCCTTGATGTTGTGCACCCTGATGTTGCCATCATCATCCACGGTGACGATGAAGTGGTTCTCCTGCAAGGGCTCTCTGCCAAACCTAACACTTCAAAGCTTACATAAGCCTTGAGCACATTCGCTTGAGCCGAAGCATGAAAACATGGTCGCTGCACGTGTGTCAGGACATTAGCGTTCAGGTTTCGGTCATGTAGGAACCTCATTAAGAAACCTTAGGCCTTTGTAAGGGTTCCTTATATGAATCCTACTATTTTGGGGTTATAGGCCCAGGGCTTCTCAATCCGGTTCCTACATTATGCAAAGGTTCCACTGCTGGAGCCTCAGAGTTGAGGGCTCGGTGCAGCCTCGCATCCTGTACCGTAAACCCAGAGACTCCAAAACCCCTTAATTAAGGAATATACCTTAAACCATGATAGGAGCCCTAATATGATGTAAGGCATACTCCTTAATTAAGGGGTTTTGGAGGCTCTGGGAACTTGTCCTTCGTTTAGGGCCAAAGTCTTACGATAGAGTTTGGAGCGCGGGAAATGCCTTGCCCTTCGTTTGCAGAGTACACTTCAGACTCTGCTAAGTTTCGTCTTATCATATATGGGTGGTTGTCAAAATTATGGTCCCTTATTGGGAACCCTAAATAATAGGTGCCGTATTATAATAAGGACCCAGAAAGGACCCCTAATTTTGACAACTACCCATATATGCAGCATACTCCCAGGTTAAGGGGTGGGCTCTCTGGCTTTGGGATTTCGAAGCAAGGGGGTGGGGTGCAGCGAGGCTTTCGCTTCAGTTGTGTTGAAAGCGTCTTAACTAATGTAGGAACCTGATTAAGACACCCTGGGCCCATAACCCCAAAATAGTGGGGTTCATATAAGGAACCCGAATAAAGGGCCAAGGTTTCTTAATCAGGTTCCTACATTAAACCGGCTGGGATTTGAAGGTTGGAGATTTACGGCTTTAGAGTTTTGGCTGCCTAGCTTCGTATGTCGGGTCGATCACGCCCCGTTCCGGAATCTGGACTTCAGGGACAGGGAAACCTGCGTAATCAGGGTTTGGGGTTTGGGGTTTAGGAGATATTTCCTAACTCCTAAAAACGAAATTCCCGAAACCCTAAACCCTAAATTTTAAACTCTTATGCAATGGGGAGTTTCAGCAGCTCGACGCGAAAGCTTGGACTTGGGTATGCCGAAAAACCTGACAGAAGCTCTGGACCAGGGAAACCAACAATCTGTGATGTAGGGGCCTGAATAATCAGAATAGGGTTCGGGTATAATATTCTGAAAATAATTAAGGACCATACGGGTATGTTTATGTTGCTTATTCCGACCCTACATTAATCCTCAAGCCCGGACCCTGAACCGGAACTCGACCGAGTGTCTCGTTCTGCAGGTCCTGGGTCGGAGACATCTCGAGCTGTACGATACTTCGTCCGGCGCCGTGCCTGTCTCATGTCGACAATTGAAGATGTTCACGGTTTAGTCTAGCGCTGAAGGCCTACGTAGAGGCCTGCGAGTTTAGGGTTTTCGAAAACTGAAGCCCTGCAATGCATGCAACGTGGGACACCAAAAAGGACACGGTGTTGCCCCGCACCCTCCTTCTCCCCTCCCTCCCTCCCGTCTTCCCGCCATCCCTCCCTCCATCGCTCCCTGGCGTCATTTCTCTCTTCCGCGCACATCGGCCACTCGCGCTTCCTTTGCCTTTCCCCCGCGATCCCTCACCAACGCTCTCTCGTCTTGTCTTCGACCCTTTCTCTGTCACTTTTATTTTTCTCTCTCTCTCTCTCTCTCTCCCTCTCTCTCTCTCTCTCTCTCTCTCTCGCTCTCTGTCCCTTTCGCTCTCTCTCGCTCTCTTTTTACACAACATACAGCGATATGTGTGTTTATACGAAAACTTGCGGCGACAGTCCTTTCTGCTTATGCACATAGATGGATAGATTTTCTCTCTCTCTGTCTCTGTCTCTCGCGTTCTCGTTCGCACTTCTGAGGTTGCATGCATGACAACGACGATAGTCTCACCAAACTAAACTCTATCGTAATTAGAAGAAACCCCAAAAGGGGAAAAACCTCGAAAGAATGGAAATACCAACCCTACACTCCTAAGCACAAAGACATGCCTCTAACCCCCCCACCCACCGCCAAAGACACTTCAACCGCAAGCGAGGAGAGAGGGACCCCAAATCGAACTTGTCTAGAAGGGGCTCATTGTCCAGCGAATAGATCGACAGCTTGGACCTGGCCGCTTGGGATGTCGGGTTTCGGGCTTGGGTGTTGGCTTCAGGGTTTAAGGTACGGCTTACCTGGAGGTCCATGGGTAGTTATAAGTAGGGTTATAAGTTTTCTGATATGAGTTGTAAGTATAGTTTCCATACTTATAACCCCACATATAACTACCCATGAACCTCCAAGTAGAGTTTCGGTGTAGGGTTTGGCGCTGTCTAGGGCTCCATGGTTTTGGCCTCAGGGTCGCCTCAAAGATCAAATCCGTCGAAAGTTTGGGGTTTTGGGTTTAGGGTTACGGTTTAGGGTTTAACGGTTTAGTGTTTAGGGTTTAAGGTTTAGGGTTTACGGTTTAGGGTTTAGGGTGTGGTAGGTCTGTTGCGGGAGCTGAAATGAAGCAGGAGCGGGTGGGGGTACACGGGGGCGGGCACCGGGATTAGCACTAGGACTAGGACTGGGACTACGACTGCTCTGACGGATGAGAAGAATTGTACACACCAAGAACCAAAACACACTGTGAGGTGTCGTTGGAGTTAGTCAGTTAGTCGGAACGTCGACGTTAGGTCTTGCAAAGCTTAATTAGAGGTTTTGGGTTGAGGATATTGGATGCAAAGGGACCACCATTTCATGAACATCTCTCAAGCGGATCCTGCGTAATTGAACGCACCTTCAACTTTCAACCTATCGACGATGCAATGGACCAACCAGCCATTCTGGTCCTGTTCGTCAGTAATGTAGGGGCCCAGATAATGCCCAAGACAATTTTGGGGGTTCCTTGTTCTTGTTATGGTCTTTTCTACCACAAAACCCTATTCTAATTATTAAGGCCCCTATATAAAATCCTTGTAACTGCCCTTATAGTAGCCCTTATAGAACCCTTTAAAGGAACCCTATTCTTATTATTAAGGCCCCTACATTAGCAGCTCGCCCAGAAGGGGACTTTGCCCCAAAGGGCCGTGAAACCGTCCGCATCGGTCACAACTTGGTTGGTCCAGATGCATATGGTAGAAGCCCAAAAGTTGGAAACCCAATATCCCCAATCCTTAAGAGTAATGCATAACTAGGGCATCCCGGCACTATTTGTCCTTAATTTGGTTTCCAACTTTCTGGGGTTCACTACAAGTTCTCCGTAGAAAAACCATGCTTGTCGCATGACTCTCAAACAGAAACCTCGAAACCCACAACCCGACTCACAAGCTGGACTTGTGTCCCAATTTGTTCTGAAGTAAGGCACGCTTGAGCTATTGCCTCTTAAGAAAACCAAGAAAGACCCGGTTGCCAGGGCATAGCGACCGCAGCGCATGCCGGCTCAGTCACCCTTGTCCTTTTAGAAATAATAGACAGAGCCCTATACCTATATCCCTTAGTAGGAATTATTTAAGAAGGTCTACTAGCCGGTCTGTTTATTCTTTTGGGGGAACCATGAAAAAGGACAAGGCTGGCTCAGTTTGAATCGATCATCTCGGATCCCCGCGCCATCAGGGGGCGGGCTGCCCAGCGAACATGGGGCTCTGCGCGTGCATCAGCGCCCGAAGCCTGAGCCTCTTTCGTGCAGGACCTGGGCAACGTTTCCGGCCAGCCCAGATTTGTCGGATTCGTTGGAGATTTCGTGGGGGTTTGTGTGGTGAGAGCAGGGTTTGAAGTCAGAACATAGGGGCTTTAACAACTAGAATAGGGTTTAATTTACTACTACAGAAACCCCCAGAATAGTGCTGGTAATTATGAAGGCCCCTATCTTAGATGACAAGAATGAGGGCCAAGCATTAGATTAGTACCGATACTACCTCCGCGCCTGCCCGGGAAGAGGCTCATATTCTGTTGCACTTACACGTCGTCTTGATCTAGGCTTCGTTGCTTGTGGACACTGTTGCGTCGTTCTGCATGACCGGTCTTGATGTCGTACAATTTTACACTGCATTGCGTTCATGACGAAACAGTACGTGGCATAGTGGAGCTAACGACATGGGCGAGTGACTTCTTGAAACCCTGGACCCAAGCCCAAAGCAGCCCTTGCTGTTTAACCTGCTTCCTAAACTGCCAACATTGACCCTTAACCAGAAAGCCGTTCAGGGTTTTGGTCCGTTGAACAAATTAGGATAAGCTCTAAACCGATGGAAGGCTCGAGGTGGGGCCACCTCTGTTGGGAACCATGCTTGCAGACACAGATATTGTAAACAAGCTGCAAGCAGCAACCAGACTTCTGGCAAGCCGCAAGAGCCGGGCACCCGTTCAGGGGGTTCTGGGAATATACATATGTGAGTATGTGTATGTACATATACATATATACACACTCTCCATTATGTGTATATATATATATATGCATACATACGGAGACGGGTATACAGATACATAGGTGCACAGATGTATGTACATATGCAGTAGATGTGTATATGTTTGAATCTACATGTATATACACATACACACACACATATACAACTACCCATGTGTTTGCTTATCTTGTCATGCGTCCATGTTTTTCTTGCTATGTCCATACTCACAGCTTACCTTTGTAGATGTGAAGACATGTAGATATATAGACATAGCTAATTATAGATGGATGGATAGGCAGATGAATAGATGAAGATATAGATGTAAAGGTCTTTAGTCTTTAGTTACAACAAGTACGCATAGTATGTATGCATATATACATGTAAACCTAAACCCAACACCCTATACCCTAACTCCTCATATATATACGATTAGGGTAAGAGTTTAGGATTCTTGGCTGCATCTTCGAGCACTGGTCTGGGACCCGAACTCATCGGTGGCAGCAGGGGACGGTGCTGGAGGCCGACTCCTTAGCAGACCCTACTTGGGGTTTAGGGATTAGGGTTCCTTAAAGGGCTCCTTCAAACGGGATCTACAAGGGGTTCTAGAAAGGGGGGGGTTAGGTTAGGCGTACTTAGAGGCCCTGGGGACATGGTAAGTCGGTGGTAACTGGGTTTATAGTAAGGGTCACTCCATTTAGGGTATTTATAGCTCTACTTATGACCTACTTATTACGTCGCCTGGGCCTCGAAGTACACGCCCCCAAAATCCTGCCCTAAACTGCATCAACCCTAAACCCTAAACCCTAAACCCTAAACTGCATCCCTCTTGTAGATGCTGAAACCCTAGAGCCTAAGCCTTACCCCAAAGGCCTCGCCGGCTTCGTAACCTGCTGCCCTGGACCCGAACTTCCTCTAGACCCAAGAGTAACCTAGGAATAAAAAGGGTGCCCTTTTTGGCGTTAAGGGGGTTATAAGAGAACCTAAACCCGTTTGGGTTTAAAGTAAAAGCCAGAAAGTTGGAATATGATTATCCTGAGCCCTTTAATTATGGTAAAATATAAGGTATCCTACCCTGAAACCATATTCCAACTTTCTGGAGCTCCCTTTAGGGACTCCACCCCTGTCGCGGCAAAGGCCGATCTTTTTGCCTTAAGGGTTTAATTTGGCTGGGCGCTTTGGGTTCAGGAGGGTTTAGGGTTCAGGGGTCAGGGTCAGGAAGTAGGGTTCAAGGTTTTAAACCCTTATAACCGAAAGCCTAAACCCAAATGTAGGAACCTGATTAAGAAACTTTGGGCCTTTATTAGGGTTCCTGATGTGAATCCGACTAGTTTGGGGTTATAGGCCCAGTGCTTCTTAATCAAGTTCCTACATTAGGCCTAAATCCCATTCCTTGGCTTCGAACTTGCGGCCCCCAGAAGTGGCGAGCTTCCTTTACATTACTTGAGTTAAATTTGGGGTTTAGGGCCTAGGGTTTACTGCCCATGAGGTGCAAATGCCCGCAGACTTAACTGCGAAGTTTCTGGGCCGTCGGACGTCTGAAAATGTGCTGGACTTTGTTTTGAAAGGTTGCAGCCATCTTGCCAAGCAGGCGTTAGGGGCCATATGGTTTGCAAGAGACGAATCATAGGCTGCCCTGTAAAGGCCTATGGCTGCAAAACTTTCAGGATTCGGGTTTACATCGTGCCGAGGCCGTCGGAAATGTCCCTAAACTCTAAACCGTGTACGGTCAGCCAGCGCTCGCCGTGAAGCCTTGACCAAGCAAGGCAGAGCAAAAGCCGACCGATATCAGAATTAACACCGGGAAAACCTAGCCTTTTCAACAAAGACATCCTAAACCCCTAAGCCCTGAACCCAAACCCCTGACCCCTAAACCGTTTCAGGAACCTAAACATGAAGGCTAAGGTAAACCCCGCCTGCAACTACAAAGCCGGGGTCTGGGTTCACGGCGTAGGGATAGATTCAAAGATCCTGAGCGGCTCCAGACAGAACATGCTTTGGGGGCCTCCTTCAGAGTTTAAGGGTTTCTGGCTTTGTAGTTTATCGGTTTGGGTCCAGGGGCTACGGGTTCATAAGGGCGTTGCCGGCCGTGGTTTGGGGTTCTGAAACTTTGTACATCACTTCCATACTGAGTTGTACAGGGTTTTGGGGATTTAGAGTTCGGCACTTTAGGCCTAAAGTGCATAGAGTATCTGCTTGTGGATGAGATGTGGTTTTGAGGTAGATTGCACTATGCTGACTATGCCTACATCGACCACATCAGGTAACCCTTGGGAATCGTGCCATGAATTTTTCATGCCCGCATAGTACGGGTTTAGGGGATTGGGTCATTTGAGGGGTATGGGCTGTGCAGGCGGCCGAACATGCTATTTTGCTGCGAACAGGCGACTTTGTAGGTGGATACTGCTAAGCAATGCAAAGCAGGTGCTTCCAAGAGCCTGGGAAGGAGGTGGTTGAGCGACGACACCGTTACGGCGAACCTAGAAACCACGCGATGAGCCCCTAACTACGAAGGGCCTGCTAAGCCCCTTCCAAAACACTCTGAGCCCCCCTGCCCGTCGCGGTGAGGATTGAGTCGCCGGGCCCTGCGCTTTGGCAATGCACGCCTTGGCTTCATGGGTTCATGGTGTATGAACCACGTGGCCGGCTTTCTCCAAAACACACGGGGCTGACGGGCCGTCGAGAAATCGCCTTTGAATGCCAGGGCTTCTACAAAGCACGTACTCCGCAGTTGGTTCAGGGTCCAAA